CTTCACCTCTGGGCCACCCCGAGGCAGAGGAGGGTAGTCGGGGTTTGGTGACTGGGCAGGGGGAGCTGTGTGGAGGTATGAAGCAGCCGCCGCACCTGGGCATTTCACTTCTTCTTGTAGCCATTATGAAATGGGAGCCTTTGGGCAAGGAAGAATGGCAGCTGCTGTGAAAGGGAGCCAGCGTGTGCGGGGAAACCTGGGCCAATATTGCCATCCAGTGGCTGGCCCTTATTAACACACCGTGACTAAAAACACCGGGGCTAAAAGGCCTGAATTCACTAGAACAAACCCCAACACACACAGCCGCTGTTTACAACCCGTCACACTGTGCTTTTTCCTGTTGGTGCTGGCAGAGGCAACACCTAAAAAAAGTCTGAAAGGTGTAAAAAACTATACAGGGGAGGTATTTAGCTTTCTTCCAGTACCTTTTCCCTTTCTCACTTCCGTTTTCTTCAAGAAGCATCATCTAGAGTTTAGTCATTGTGAAGTAATCCCTATAAAATTTGTATATATGGCCGAATTTGGCTCTTGGTGGCTCGGGCCTTGTACAGCAAAAGCCTTGAGGTGAGTGTCACGAGGGCGAGTCATTAAAGCAGGTGGGACTTGGAGCAAAACGGGGGTGGTGCCTGGCAGCAACATGCGCTGCCCGCCCAGAGCTCAGCTGGGCCCATTGAGCAGCTTCAACAGCAGCAAGGGAAAGGCTGCAGTGACCACGGTGTGTGCTAGAGAAGCAACAATCTCCCTCCCATTTTGGGGCAGAAAGCAGGTTTATCAGCGCACCTCAGGGCGGGAACAAAAAGCCCTTGGTGCTTCTGGCTTTCTGCAGGAAGGCTGCCCACTTGGGGAGAGCATTTCCAAACAGATGCAGCAGCAGCCACGTGAACAGGGATTACGCGGCAAGGGGGAAACTGCCTTCCAATCCCTCTCGAATGCACTTTGGAGCTCCGGTGCCACCTATTAATTATTTGTATTTCCACAGTAGGTGGGAGCCTTGTCTCACTGACCGCTGGGCTGCTCATGTGCTCCCTGTGCTCTGCTTCTTAACGACTTTCGTACTCAAGAAACGACTCAGTTGCTCCCCCGCCACCTGGTGTCCCAAGAGAACGAACTGTGTTTAATGAAAACACATCTCCAGCTATTATTTTGCAGACTTGCCTATACTATTCTAATATGCCCAGCAAGCTTGATTTCCCATTGCAGAAATGTGTTAGTTTCCCATTTACATCATTCAGGTGTTTTCTATCTGTGTATTAATTTTCACCATCTCTCTTTCGTACTGAATCACTAGGATCTGATCCCAAATCACCACGTTTGCCCAGCACAGGAAAGGCAGGTAAACCTTAAGTCCAAATCAGCTCATGCTTTGGTGTGCTGACACGTTCTGTATTACCGAAAGGCAACCAGGGCATATAGTGAACAGCCCTAAAGCAAAACTGTCAGGAAGTGCTGAAAGGGACATCCATAGGAAACTGCAGGGGACGTGACACTGGTGGGTGCTCATGTGGGCTAAGATTTGAAATGCAACCTGTATATTGAATGGCATTAAGAGTTCCAGCTACAAGGACTTTACAGAGAAAATCCTAGCTAGGATAAATAGTTTTGTGATAATCTCCTTTGTCTGTTTCTTGGGAGAACTCAGGTTTTTCTGTGTCAAAGTATTGCAGAGCTGGAGTAAAAGGGTTAACAGAGCAACAGCTCGTTCATCATGATGAACTCCACAGAAAGTCATGCTGGTTCACCAGAGTCAAAATGCAAAGTCACTGCCTCATGGTGGAAAGGCTGAAATTTTGCCTTTTCATTAATCACAATATTCTTTGGATTTGATATAATCTATGCAAACCCAGTAAGAAAGCATCTAGTTGACACTTTAAAATTCCAAATTTCCGATATGCTGCCTCGCATTTCAGTTTGATTTCACTAGCCCAGAGGATCACTTTGGGCTATCACCGCAGCTCTCAGAAAGGTCTCAGAACATTTGTCAATTGTATTCCTTGCAAAATCCAGAGAACCCAGAGAACTTGGTGGGAGAATTCACCAAACAGCAGCTCCTCTCATGCAAGTGGGAGTAAAACCTCTGTTCTTGCATGGGAGGTGTGACTGGGGGCGCTGCAGGACTGAACCTGCCCAGGAGAAGCTCCAAGAAGCCAGCTTTTCACCTCATTTTTCAGTCTGAAGTCCACACAGCCACTGAAGGAAAAAAATATATACAGCACGCGCAGGCTTTGGCACTACACGAAGTATATTTAAACCCCAGCTCTTTTCTTTGGATGTTAAGCAGCAAAAGAGGGTGGGTGGCAGGGTTGCAAGTGGCATGGGTGCCCACGAAGGGACCGTGCAGGGACCCGCGGCGACCGGCGCACGCTGGGGACAAAGGTTGGCACCGACATTGCACAACCCTGTCCTTGGAGACCTGTGTTCCAAGTTCATGCAGCCTGTGCTGCCACGGAGTGAGGGCCATAACAGGGGGCAGGCTGCTGCAGCTGGGCAGGACAAAAGGACAAAAAGATGTCAAAGGGGATTTTTTTTTCCTCGTGTTCCATTTAAAGCCTTTCCAGGCTGACACTATTTTAATTACACAAACACTTTGGTTATCAGCACTTAATTGGAATTACAGGCTTGGCACTGGGGAGCCTCCATCAGCGAGTTCCTAATGCAGTAACTCCCAATTCCCACAGTGGCTTCCCTCTCCAAAGCATTATCCGAGCATGAACTGAGGTAATTACCTCTCCCAGAGCCCTTGGGAGGCAGGGCAGTGTCGGTGGCCTCATGTAATACAGCGGGAAGAGTTTAAGGACACAGAGGGTCTTGCTGGGGACAAGGTTCAGGCTTGACATTGTGYTGGGTTCCTCATCCAGGCAATGCACAAGACACCAGAGCACCTGGAGCACCCACAGCGCTGCCTCTGCTGGCAGCCTCAGTTCTGCCTCACAGCTTCCTGGAGAGTTGGCAAAAGCAGGAATACTCCGTCTTTGCGCTGGCGGCAGAGGAATGGCTGGCACAAACTTCTGCCTAGTTCGTTCACCCCTATAAAATCTTGATCAGAGTGCATGTTAATGTGCTGTTTGCTCAGGGGATGCCCTATTTTCACACTACAGGATGAGTCTGGGATTTTTTTTGTTATTTCTGCACATTTTGCTGAGAAGTTGATTAGTTTCTGTCTGCAGAGATTAGACCACCATTAACTCACGTGACACACTATTTTGTTTGTTGAAAGGCGCAGTTTAAACAGGCAAATCAGCAAACAACAGGGGCAAGCTGGAATCCTGCACTTCATTCCTCAGGTCTGAGCGCAGTTCATGCTGTCCAAACGAGCAATCGCACCTGGCACTTTGTCCTTTCCTCTCTGATTTGATGACGACATTCCAAATAATAAAACAATGTTACTGCCATCAAATGTTCTTCAGCTTCTCTGTGGCGGAATTTCACATAAATTGTTCCCTGCTCGCAAGACTTTAAGAAAGTAAATGGGTGAAAAGGAAGTATGTGTGGRAAAAAAAATCTGCAGCTTCTTGAATAAGACTCCTGTGAAAGTACTCATGCAAACCAATACTTTTGTGTTACCATTGTGCTGCACAAAATACAGTAGAAAACACCCTTGAGGGTGAGGCTGCAGTCTGCCTGAGGTTACTGATGGCACATACCACACAAAATCCTGTGCGTTAGTCCTTCAAATTCACCTTTTTCCTTTAGCCTTCTACAGMTGATGCCTGCGCTGACACATCATAAGATGTAGCAAAGATGTTTGATATCCTCATCACAGAATCACAGAATGGTTGAGGTTGGAAGGCACCTCTAGAAATSATCTAGTCCACTCTCCTGCTCCAGCMGGGACACCCAGAGCAYGGGGCACAGGGCTCCAGAGAAGGAGACTCCACAGCCTCCCTGGGCAGCCTGTGCTGGGGCTCTGTCACCCTCACAGTGAAGAAATTCTTTGAGTTACTAACCTTCCATGTTTACAAACCTTTTTTTTCCCTTCTTTTTTTTATATATATATGCATATATGTATGCATATATATGTGTACATATATATTTTTGTGTGTGTGTATATATATATATATATAAAAATCAAACAAAATTTGCCTCGAGGGCACAGAAAGATTTCATTTGGACTCAGCCAACTTTCAAGATCCTACAGGTTATGCCACCACCACAAACTGGTTTGCTCGCGGGTAATTTGCAAAGCATTTTTCCCCCACGCACAGTAGGAATGAAGCTCTAGGAAGATTATTAAGTAGCTCTCAGTGCCAAGACTCCTTCTAAACAGGGAGCRTCCTTCTAAACTGCCTCAAGTTACAGGTACTGCAGGGTCACTCTGGATTTCTGATTCCACTTCCTCAACAGCATAGCAGAAAAGCAAGAAAAAGGTGGGTTTATCAAAACACAAAAATAAAAAGGGCGTTTATAATATGCAATCATTTTGCTGTTAAAACACCTGGAGGCTGCACATCCTCCAGCAGCTCTTTGACGAGGCTTTTCCCTTACTGCCGCTTCAGGGCACGCCGCAGGGAACGTTAACGCGGGCGGGAAGCCCTGGCACTTGCGAGATCCTCACGCGAGCGGGGAAGGCGGGCGGTGACGCGGCGCGGGGAACGCCCGTTCCGTTTCCCCAACGCCCGAGCGCCGCCTGCCGCGACCTCGAGCAGGACGCGCCGGGCGCCTCACGAGCCGCCGGGCGCCTCACGAGCCGCCCGCGCCAACGGCCGCCGCGGGAGGCGCTTGGGGGAGGGGCGGCTCCCGCGCGTCCGTTACACAAGGCGGCGCGCGCGCCCCCCTGCCCCCTCCACCCAACCGGCCGGGGGCGGAGCCTCAGCCGCCCATTGGCTGAGCGGCGGGCGCCGCGGGTTAGCCCTGCTCCCTCCCCTAGTGATTGGCTGGAGGAGACCAAAAGGTGGTGCGTGATTGGCCGCGGAGCTTAGCGGCCGCCCTATATAAGGGCCGGCGGAGGGGGCGGCTCCCTAGTGCGGGGCCGCTCGCGGGGGAGGGGAGGGTGTTGCGTGTGTCGCTTCTCCGCCCGCCGCCGCGCAGAACATGGCGACGCTCAAGGCCGTGTGCGTGATGAGGGGCGACGGCCCCGTGAACGGCGTCATCCACTTCCAGCAGCAGGCAAGCGGCGCGGCACCCTCTGCTCGGCTGCGCTGCGCCCCGCTCAGCGCTGCCCGCCCCTGCTGCTGCTGAGTCATTGCCCGCCGGGAGCTGCGCGGGACGGGACGGGGGATGGCGGCCGTTGGGCCCTGAGGCTTTAGCAGATGGACTCGCTTCGTCCAGGAAGGCTGCCCTTCGTGTCAGCTGCTGCGTGTGCGGTTTCTGCCTCTAGGGCCTTCTCGAGGCCTGCAGGCTTGACACTGTGAGCCCACTTAGTGCTATAGTTATTCAGGTGCTAACAAACTCTCTTTCTGCCAAAGGGTGATGGACCAGTAAAAATCACTGGGAAAATCAATGCCTTGAGTGACGGGGATCATGGCTTCCACGTGCACGAGTTTGGGGACAACACAAACGGTAAGGCTCCTGTTAGCCGTCAGGGGAGAGCAGTGCTGGCCGCCCTGCCGCRGCACTGGCCGGTGTGAAGGGTGCTTGGTGGTGACTGCAAATCCATTTCATGAGGCTACGACATTCCCTAAGGCATTGCTCTCCCAGCCAACGCTCTAAATGTGCTTAGACTAGAAATCAAAATCTCATGTATCAACCACTGAAATTCTGTGGTAGCCCAGCACTCTGAATTGAGAATACTACTTTGAACTAACCGAAGAACATCAGAAAATATTTTGCATTCCAAAGCCTTGTGTTACTGGACTCCTAACAGTAATGCTTGCAAGGCTGTCATAGGTTAGTTCCCTCCAGTGGATCTGCATAATATCATGAGTAGTGCTTTCACCTTTAGAAAGCTTCCTCTGGCTGTGGGAAGGCTGCCTGGTTGTGCTGTGTGAGCAGCTTTATGTTAGTGGTGACAAAAATGTGCATTTCTCATGGCTGCTCTGTTCCAGGGTGCACCAGTGCAGGTGCCCACTTCAATCCCCAAGGCAAGCAGCATGGTGGACCAACTGATGAAGAAAGGTGAGTTTAATGTGCCTGATTCCTATCTGGAAGGCTGCTCAACTTGAATTAGCAGGTATTTAGTGAGACCCCTTTCTGCCTGGGAGGCCACTTTATTGATAATGCCAGGACAGAACTAGGCAGAAAACTTGCAGTTGCAACATGTCTTTTAGTGTCAATTAATAGAGGTCTGCTCAATGGACTACATGGAGTCTTTGAAAGGTATCCTTGGCTTAAGTGCAGCTGGGGGCAGAAATAAGAGATTTTTACTGAGTGAGGGTACCTGAATGTGAGTGGAGGGGGATTCCTGATGACCTATTTCTGTGTTGGGTGTCCATCAGTAAACAGCCTTTCACCCAGGGGCCTTCAGCTGCCAGGGAGCTGTTGCCCTTTGTGCAGGGCTGTTGTGTGACGAGATTGGGATTTGTGGAAGGGGCTGGAGCTTCAGGGGAGTTGTAAGAATGAATAGAAAGCTGAGTGCCTGGCAGAGGGACTGTTTGTTGGGGGTGTGCTTAACCTATAAGCTTAGGCCCTGCAGTAGGATGTGCTGCTGGGGGGTCTGCCTGTGCTGACTCAGTGGGAGCCAAGACCTGGAGCTGACACCTGGCTCTTCTGTGCGAACAATTTCTTCCCCCTGGGCCCTTCAAGGGGGCCATGCCTGTTGGAGACCCCTACTCTTTAAGCCAGAGCAAGCAGCCTAAATAGTCCCCTGCCTGGGAAGGGGCTGTGCAAGAGCTGAAGGCCAGTGCAGCAGTAAGTGTAAAGGATGGGCTGGCCTGTGCAGGCAGGTCTGGAGTAGCGCTGTGACCAACTTGGCAGTGCAGCTCACTTCAGGTGCTCACCTTAAGAGCATAGCTGCACCTTCAGTGTTGGGCAATCAATACCTGCATGTTGAAGGGCTTGCAAAGCCAGAGGGCTGGCTCACGGCCACCTCTCTTAGGCACCGCCCTGTGCTAAAGGCCAGAATAGGATAAGTAATGTTGTGGCCTCTGCCAGCTCTACATAGTCAGTGCTTTCTACTGACACAACTTGCCTCTTATCGTAGTCCAGGGAACTTAATATGGAGACAGAGCTAGGTCATCCATCAGTCAGGACAGAGTAGAAGCAGATTGGACAACCTTCCTGGAAGTCAAAGTGAAGCAAATTCCCCAAGGGAAAGCTGTCCTTGTCCTCATTTTGTGACTTAGTCAAAAGCAAGAAATCTCTGCTAGACCAGGCTGGCAGTCAGCTGGCTGTGCTGACTGCCTCACAGGACTTGGAGAGTTTATTAGAAACAAGCTGATGGTCAAGGCTCTGAGTCTAGATTGGTGTCTTGTAGCTCTGTGAGCATGAGTTTTATGATTTTTATTTGGAACAAGCAGGCTGGACACACACTGAATGTCCAAAAGCTGTAAACTGCCTTGGGACTAATGGAAGTCCTGATGGAGAACTGGCTATTAACAAAACTCCCAGAACTGGTGTCACAAATATGGGAAAATACTGAATAAACTGCATTAGTTGTTTCTAGTGATGGTGAGAACTTAGCTAGCATTTAATGTATCCCCTGTTGACTTATCACCTGCAAACTGCTTGTGCTAATCCTGCTTAAACCTAAAGTGTCTGCAGCTGCTTATGGAAGAGCTGGGTTGTCATGCCTTAAGAGCTTTAAGGATAGCTGCAGTGCTCTTCCTAAACCTTGTGTGTGCAGAAAGGTGGTGTCACCTAACTGAGAGCTTCCCTGTGAGCAAAGTATCTTCCAATAGATAAATATGGAGGGAGCTCTTAGCCACAAGAGTTGTGTGGTAGCTGCTTGCCTTCCTTGGGGCCACAGTGTCTTTCCCACTGTTGTGAGTAACCTTTTGGTTCTGAGCACTGCCTAGAACTGAGCTTTAATTGAATCTCTTGAACTAGATGTGTTGAAGAGTCCCTGGCATGTTAAATGAATGTTCTGCTCGAGGTGGTGGAGCACTCTGCTGTGCTGAATATGGATGTTGTGTTGGCCAGGCCATCACATGTGTAAGTTTTGTGTGAGTATCTGCTCTTTTGCTCACAGGCACGTGGGAGACCTCGGCAATGTGACTGCTAAAGGAGGGGTGGCAGAGGTGGATATAGAGGATCGGGTCATCTCCCTGAGTGGGCCACACAGCATCATTGGCCGCACCATGGTGGTAAGYGCCTCAGGGCCTGCTTGGGCGCTCTGCACAGCTCCAGGGTGGCCCTGGAAGCACCCTTGTGCTGGAGCCTTATGCCTGGGGCTTGTGTAGCCCGGAGCTCCCGCTCTGGGGGCTCTTTCCTATGCTGACCAAGTAGGCAGGAGGTGGGTGGTGTAACTGTCGCCACGGAGCCGCCAGGGCTCTGCCTGCATCATAAGCCAGCCCTGTGGTGTRAGTATGAGCTTGAGATGCAAGCCAATGGTTGCCCTTGGGTGAGTGCTGGCTGCTGGGCTTTTGCTAACTTGCAGTTCTGAAATCCAGTTGGAGGCTCCTTTTCTTACACAACTCTAAAGCTTCTAGTGTGAGTACCCAGTTGCTGTTCAGGGATCCAGTGGAAAGCAGCAGTTGCTTATGCAGATGTTGCAGACAGCTGGCAGCACTTGCTGCTGTTACTACTCCTGTGAAGAGCTGAGATGTTTATTGCGGATGTAATAACCTGAATTAAGATATCTTTAATTCTTTTTTAGGTCCATGCAAAACCTGATGACCTGGGTAGAGGAGGAGATAATGAGAGCAAACTAACTGGAAATGCTGGACCTCGTTTAGCTTGTGGYGTAATTGGATTAGCCAAGTGCTAAGTACTGCACCTGGAGTGCGAAATGGGCTGTATTTCATAGCAAATGCTGTACCTGGCCTTGTTCAAGAAAAAGATTTATCACTTAATCTCATTACTACTTTGCGTTCTGAGTATCAGTGGAACTGGTRAAGACTGACTTAATTTTGTACAATGTATATTGCAATTAAAGTGAGTGTGATGGAATGTCTCTGTAGTCTTCTGCTAAAGCCTCTGTTGTTGTCACCTTGAGTGTGATCTTCACTAGCAGGAACTCTCCTGTTGTGTCATGGAAGGTGTTTATCAGTGACCACTAATGCTGTGCACTAAAATGTGATGTATTGTGTAACCTGACCACCCTTAGGAGCTCTGGCAAGACTACCCACCAAAGCAGGGGGGACCCTCTATGTGTCAGGGCTTCCTCCTGGTAGAGTTAAAGCACTGTAGGCTTCAACCTTAATAAATGTGCTGGGCAAATACTCTGTGGTCTTGCTGTCTGTGGGGGGAACTTCCTGCTGATCCTCTGCCCTCTGGAACGTGGCACTGGGCTGCCTGAGGCCACTACTGAACTTGTGGGGCACCAACATCCAACAAATCAGTGCTGGTCCATAATCTTGGACCAACTGAAACCTTTACTCAGCCTGTAAGAAAGGTTCTCATGTGTTCTTGGTAGTATCTGATGGTGCTGCATGTTACAGCTGCTTGTGTGGAGATACATCATCCTGCTCCCAGTGTAAAGCAAGGCCTGGGGGAGAGGGTCGAAGGCTGCTGCAGAGCAGCAGAGGAGTGGGAAGGGTTCAAGCATACAAGCCATGGCTCCTTGAGCCCCCTCTCCTGCAGCTTGGCCTTGTAGGGCTGTGTTGTCCTGGGCCGATGTGGAACCTCCCATGCAAAAGGTCTCAGGCTGCTGTGCAGTGCAGACTCCTAATGCCCTCGGGCTGGGCCCCTCTCTTGGAGCTGTGCAGCTGGAAGCCTCTAAGTGAAGGGCAGGCCTTGAGGGAGAGATGGGGCCAGAGATCCTGCCTTTACATCCATGAGGCTTTTCTGCAGTGTAATCGCTACATAACAGGGGCAGCTTTCTTTTGTGTGTATACTTCTTAAACACAGATTTTTTTTCAAGTCTTTTAATAGAGAAAATCATTAATGAAGACTTGTATCAACATTCCTTTATATCTTATACATAAGTGATATTCATGGAAGTAGTTGGCTGTACTTTGAGACACCCAAATTCCAGTGTAGCATGTTACAAAGGSCGTGGCTCTGGGTATAGCAACAATACCATAAAAACACTAAGAATTTACACTTGTTGTAGGTGGCAAACAACTGTGTGTCCAGCCCCTACCCACCTGCATGCTTTCCAGGGGATTAGTGAGTACTCTGGATCAGCTGTAGCTGCAGAATTAAGATAGTGAATGTGCATTTCATGTCACTTGGCCTCCACTTTGAACATAATACAGACACCATCATCATCGTCACTGCCTCTTCTCCTCATGTTTCAGGTCTGGGGGACTGTTAGGCTGCCTCTCCTCTCCCAAAGGAAAGAGYGAGCAGGGAGTGCAGTGCTAGCACTGGAGTGCAATGCTCTGCTTGCATCTTATCCAGCTGCTCTGGGCTGACCCTTGCTCTTTTTGGCAAGTCTGATCTATACAGCTGTTTACTTCAAATCCGCTCCATTATTTGGTTTAATGTCTGATGGCAGACTACCTAACAGCCATACTGTATTTTAAACTGTACATCCATGTGTGCCCAAATAAATGAATCTGGCAGGCACTGGTTCAACAGCGAAATTCTTAACTGCTCCCACTGAAGAGCATTAGTAAGGGATGCTTATGTTGAGCTTGCTAATTAATCTTAAGTAAATTAATTAATCTTAAAACTTCTGAATTGTCTCTTTTTAAAGCCAGAAATTCAGCAGTTAATACAAAGGTAGTATATAGTTATGCTGGTGATACCTTAAAGATGGAGCTGTCCCGGCATGTTTTATTCCCAAGCTTCGGGGAAGCCGCTCTGCACGTGGCATTCACAGCTCGTCCTGCCGCTGGTTTCAGTCTCCCAGAGGGTGACAGGGAGATGTGGGGTGACGTTTGCACAAGCTGTAACAGATAAGCCTTCCATCTCCTTCATTCTTGTCTTCAAATCTTTTAATAAAGCGTATTCATTAAAAAAATCCTATCTCCTTACAGAATTATGGCAGTTGTTATTAAAACAGTCTTAAACTTAAGACATAAACATCTGGTTTTGTATGAAAAAAGTTAGTTCCACTGGCCCAGCATGAAACAAATGTTAAGGACACAAGTTTTAACACATGGAAGTTGAGTTCACTACAAGTATGTAAACAGTTTTCTTTTTCTCTCTTTATTCTGCTATTGCAAGAACATAAAAATATATGTCCTCTCCCCCATCCAGAACTCCTTATTTGCCTCCCCTCCCACGCCCTCCCCCAGAAAAAGTCCCTCTGCCGCAGAGCAGCTGTCAAAAAGTACTGGCGTAAGAAAGCAGCTGCCCTTTGCTCAGCGAAAAACACCTCTCAATGGAGAACACACCGATCTCAAGGAGGAAAAAAAATATGCACAGGATTCATATATATATTTTTTTCCCACTTGCAGAGCACAACAAGCTGCAAGGGCCTGTCTGGTGCACCCTGAGCCTCCTGCTGCGGCGCGCGGGCTGAGGGTGAGYGCCCAGCGTGGCCGAGGGCAGCACCCCGGGGGCTCTGTGCCCCTGCTCCGGGCCATGCCCAGCCTCTCCCAACGCTCTGCACCCCAAGGGCAGCTCCTCGAGCTCCTGTTTGCCCTCTGCTGACCGTCTGACTAAGATAGAGACCTAAGTGATGCGGAGAGGAGGTGGCAAAACTTACACAGATACGAGAATATGCATTCGCTTTCCATCAGTTTGATAGGTACAACACTGAGTAAAAAAATTTAAACCTACCCCTTGCTGGCTTACAGGAGGTAGATCTCGTTAACACAGACAACAGTAACAGCCTCGGTCGGCGTGAAAGGACAGGCAGCGTTTTAAAATCCTTATGCGCCCTCCCAGTCCCCTACCTTCCCCCAGCCCCGCTTAAAAAAAATAGGTTAGCATTTTATATTGTGATTTGGTGTCTTTGATTTCTCTCCCAGCCCGCTTTCCAAAAAGCATCAGTGAATAACAAGTACAAAAGATGCTGAGCCGGGGTGCTTCCCAGCCCACCACACACAGTCATTTCATAACATTACAAGCAGAGCAGACCAACTATGTCTGAAGGTGTCCACATTTTTTTTTTCTTTTCTTTTAAAAAAAGGCTAATTAGGGCAACATTTACCACAGAACCAATTGGAGGAAAAATTTAAAAAAGAAAAAAAGAAAAAAAAAAAAAAAAAAAAAAAAAAAAAAAAAAAAAAAAAAAAAAAAAAAAAAAAAAAAAAAAAAAAAACCACCCTTGATTGCATCGCAAACACTAAACAGTTACCTCTTCAGTTAACATTTTAAAACCACTAACTTTTACCTACTATGGTCAAGTAGATCATTAAAATGCAGCAATCTAAAAATCAAAATGCCTATTACAAATAAAAATTTGCTTCTGTGAATAGCTACACAAACAGATGTATTTCTTTTAACAAATATAAACAAAACAGTCTAATTTAGACTCCAGTACAGCATTAACAGTTCAAACTTTAAGATGTTGAACAATCCTTTTCCACTTCAGTGCAGTGTAGGAAGAATAGCACACATTAAAGTTTGTTACGAAAATAGAGTTTATTAAAAACACATCCCTATTGTTTTGAGGAGCTTTCACCGTTACCTTTTCTTAAATTAAAAAAAAAAAATAGAAAGCACTTCTACTTCTGATTTGTAAACTTTTTAAAGTCAAAACTTTAAAAAAGTTACAGCAAAAAAACGGGTAATATTTTAATCACGTCTTCAGTATCTTGTGTTACGTGGTGGCTATTTTAAATAGGAGGGCAGCAATCAAATTGCTCGCAGCGCCGCCGCGAGCGCGGCGGGGCCGCGGTGGGGGCTGAAGCAGGTATGATACAGCAGACTGTACAAGGCCACCGCTCGGCACGCCGAGCAACCGGGTCCGCGCCGGGGGCTGAGCGGCRCCCGGCTCTAGCGCGGGGCCTCCGCCGCCGAGCCCCCGTCCTTGTCGGCAGGTTCCGCACATGAGGTAGCCGCGGGCGGCAGCGCTTCRTCCGCCTCTGCGCCCGTGGGGTCGCGCTCGCCTTGGCCCAGTTCGGAAACAATGTCTGCCTCTTCCATCCTGCCGCTGTGGGAGTCGTGGTTCTTGTCGCCGTCCGCCCTGTCCGTCACCTCGGCCTTCTCCTTGCCCCGGGCTTCTTCCTTGTCCCTGCGAGACTCCCTATCCCTGGAGTCGCGCTCGCGGTCCCGGTGCCCGCTGGAGCGCCTGCTCCTGTCCTCCATGTCTCTGTGCCGCTCTCGCTCGGGGCTCCGCCTGCCCCACTCTCTCCTCTCGCGGTTCCCAGGCCGCTCRTGCTCTCGGTCGTCGCCGCCGCGGTTCCCGTAGCGCTCGCGATCGTTCTCCACCCGGTTCCCAAACGATCTCCTTCCTCCAAACCTCTCCTGGTCTCTGTTAGGAGTGAAAGTCTGCCTGTCATTCCTGAACTGCTGCCGCCCATCCCTGTTGTCCTCCGCTCCGCTCGGGCCGCTGCTGCCGGCCATGCCGCCGCTCGGCCTCACAAAATGGCCGGGCGGCGGGAAGGGCGCCTTCATGCCGTGCGGCGGCGGCATGGTGAAGCCGCCGGGCCCGGGCGGCGGCCCCCGGGGCATCATGTGGGGCGGCATGTGGCGCGGCGGCATCAGGGGGAAGCGCTGGAGCGGCGGCGGCGGTGGCGGCATCCCCGGCGGTCGCTGCAGCGGGATCAAGCCGGGCCGCGCGCCCAGCAGCCCCGTGGACGGAGTCTGCAGCCCAACGACAGGCGCCGGCGGTGGCGGCGTTGCCACCGCTTGGGTACCTGCAACAGACAGACAGACACAGTGTGTGAAGAGGGAGCAAGAGCGTGTGTGACGGGCTGCGGGGAGAAAACGTTAATACAAGTTCACTTCTAACCAAGATCGTCCCGTGAAGCCASTAAGAGAGCATGTATGCGTGTGTGCACGTGCACGAGCTGCTTCGATGAGAACTTACTGCTGAAGGAGCATAGCTTCCAAGCTGAGGTTTGTTCCGTGCTAAGGGGAATTAATGACCAACGGGTAAATCAATCCCTTCTCTCAAAGGCGTCATCTGGTGCAGGAGCAGTTGCTGTTGTGCAGTGCAGGGCTACACTCACTTCACCAACATGCTCTGCCAACTGAACATCTTCCTTGCAAGCTGGGCTTTCCGTGGTCCTAACTAAAGACACCTCCTTTACTAGCCCCACAGAAACCTCCTCCCTGCGTCACACAGTCCACACCGCATCCGGTGGCAACACCTGCGGCTTGACCTGGGTCTGCAGCAGCATGTGTCAAGTGCAGCAGAGGCAGCGGATACAAAATCAGCCACGAAACCAGGGGAGGTCAGAACGGGATAGCGGGAGGAAACAGGAGATTATTAACAGCTCAGCCAACCATTCCAGACAAGTACAACAAAGTTTAGTTTTAATAAACTAAACCTTACAATGTAAACTAACAAGAAATGCAACATGAAGCTTGTGGGCATTATTTTTTAATAGTTTTCCATCCTTTGCAGCATATATCCAAGGCCAACYGTTTTCCACTTCTACATACAGAGTGTTACAACATGCTCCCCAGGACAGTATGGATATATTAGTATCTGTGAGGCCTCTCGGGACACCCCACTGAGGCAGCTCAGCCTGGAGCTCGCAGCCATCAGGAACCCAAGGGCACCGTGTGCAAGCGCAGCCTCGTGTCTGCTCTGCCCCCAGCTGCTCACACCACCTCTCATCCCCGGGGCTTTCACACGGGCTCTGTCCCGTGCCACTGCGCTCTCCTACCTGGGAATAAGCCCYACAGCTGAGAGAGCGCGTGATCAGAACATGTATTGTTCTCAATAGTGATCCCCACAGGCCTCCAGAGAGCATCGACAGCAGTCAGGCAAAAACCCTATCCTAATCTCTCTTGCTTTCTTTTTAAAATTCATTGAGATCATGTTTATTTCCAGCTCTATCACTAAAAATGAAAGTTAAAAGAGTACCGGCAATGTAAGCTAAAACGCATTAGAACTAAATGTTTAGCAAAGTACCATCACTGTAAACTAAATGTTTAGCAAAGTACCATTACTGTACAAGTTGATTTCAACTTGCAAAAACAGAGCTGACACCCTACAATTCTATCAGCTTCTCTCTGCAACTGCTTTATGTAACATTTCCCACCCAACCAAACCTGAGCCTTCTGAAAACTGCATTTAATGCCCTTCTGTCACACCACTTCTTATACTAAATTACATCCTTGTACCTTCTCTAACAGAAATCTTTTAACACCCTTTAGATCTGTATTAGAAAGAAATTATGCATTGCTAATCTGCAGAGCTGAGGCAAGAGAGACATGGAGAGTCTTCCAGTCCACAGTTATCATCTTCCCTTCTACGCAGCCACTTCTAAGACAGGACTTGCTCTGTCACATTCTTTGAAATAAATGATCAGCCAGCAATGACTTATGTTTTTCTGTTTGCTTTTAAAACAAGCAGCCCTCCACCTCCTTTTGCAATCATAAGGCTATAAGCCTATTTAAACTCCTAATTCAACCTAATTGAAACTCCTTGTGTGTCTTCATATTGTGCAACCTGACRAATCAGTCATACGGCTAGTGACATCTTCCAAGACTTTTATTTTACTAAATTGTTAAGGTTTGGGGACATTTTTTGATTTACACAGCCAAACAGCTTTCCCCCTTGAAGATTAATGAAGCACCAAGGCATAACTGAGAAGGGATGAATGGAAGATAAGTGTACACTTGTGCTCTACAGCAACAGCATGTGTATCAAATAAGATTTTTTTTTCCTAGTCAGGTAGCAATAATGTAATGTTTCAACCTTATTTCCACATGGAATTATTTGTGGAAGTGTAAAGGTATCTAGAAACTCATTCTGGACTGCAACCTGGACTCCAGCATCTGGGTAGCTGAACAATTTTTATTTTAAATAAACTGACTTACATGTTTAGGCTGCAGTGTCCATTACAAAGAACTATTAAAAGTTTCTTATAGTGCTGTCAATTCAGGCACTAGTTAAATACTTTCCCTGAAAGAACTGTGGAGAAACAAATCCAAGTTTTATTGAAAATGCTCGATAAAATTAATGGCACATAATGCATGTGTATCTTCCAGGAAAAATTCAAAAATCCCCATTACCTCATTAAGGGAAAGATAATTAAAATTGCAAATAGTTTCTCAAACTTGAAATATCYGAGCTCCTGGAGAGAAAATAAAGTAATTTCATGATCATCTCATCTCTGTGCAGACAGGGGAGAGGCTGCCTCTGCCCCAGCACGTATTTGTGCCTAAGCACAAGCCTTTCTGTGCCCCCTTCACCTCGCTTACGGGGATGGGGCAGGACGGGCCTCAGTCCCCGAGCTGAGCGTTCTGCTGGGCCCGGCTCYGACCGCTGCTGCGCTAGCGCCACGCGGCCGTCCCTAGGACCTCAGGGCTCCTCCTGGTCAGAGCTGGGGAAGCGCTCGTTGCTTTCACAGCTTACTTCTGGTGGGGACTTTTACCAGGGGTGCTGATTACAAGGCCCTCGGCAACATGGAGTGCTTAATATGGGGAGCTCGGGTATCAACGTACTAGCTCAAGTCCTCGCCAAGGCCCTGCAAAGCTTCAGAGATGTGAGAACAAGCGCACGGTGTCACACGGTGCAGAATTTGGCTTTACTCATCAGGCGTAGCTCAAAACGGCTACAGCTGTCCTGAAGAAGCATCTTCTGTGCAGAGAGGCCAGAGCAGTCTTCCTTACTGCTTGACAAATTAAGTAAAAAGACAGATGTCCATGTCACTGAATTCCACTTCCCATTATCCCATTACCTTCTCTTCTTGCTTGAGAAAGCCCACAGTCCCTTGTGACAGTTATCAGTTATAAAYGCTAACATGAGATTAAAGAAAAACCTGAATTCTACCAAATAAGTGAGTCCGTCCGGTATCTCCTCCTCTAATCTGTTAATCATTTTCTCCGCTGCTACAAGAAAGCAAGGGAAGCAAAGGTATCTAACACACCAATGTTGCTTCAAATACACCTCCTTTTAGAAAGCTGATGGAAAGACATATGGGTACATCAAAAGTCAAAAGCTCTAGGTACTACCAAAACAGCAGGCTAAGGGTTTACCTCCTGAGTTTGATGTTAGGTCACATGTAACAAATCACATTAATCCATGGYAGATGCTGCATCTTATATTAGAAAATCAAATACAATCAGGAAATACTTGGATGTGGTACTAAATGCACTGCTCTGAGTCTTGTGTCTTTCTCTGGGGTTTGATACAGAATCTTTTAGAACAGGCCAAGAGTGCAAAGAAGGAACCCTACATGTAAGTGCCTCACTACACACTCTCCCCTTAAGGCAAGTTATTTRAGAAAAATGTTCATTTTCCAGGGTGGTCTATGCCCATCTCTGAAGACAGCGGGAGTTGGTTCCTACCCACTTAAGATTCTTAAAACAAGGATGTAAGAATCAAACTACACAAATATACAGTGTTGACTATGGACATCAGACTTCCACTATTCCTGCTTTATAAGCACTGAATAATAATACACTGAATAATAATACACTGAATGACCCAGTTCACGCGAATCATGAAGGCAAAATTTAATTTCATGAATGGTGCTTGAGAATTCATGTTTTCCTTACCTCTGAACTCTCATTCAGTAGCATTATCGGTATGGAAGCAACATTCATATGTGTAATTAGGAAACAGCATTTGTTAAGCTTTCAACATGGGCTGTCAGCAAAAGAGTGGAAATAGAGCAAGTGTGTCACTGTCAATATCTTGTATTACATAAAAATTGATCCTTCCTTTTATCAGGATCCACTTTATAATACTGAAATACTCTGATTAGCTCAGATATTAAACTTAGTCTTCTATCATTTAATGTGGATTACAAAAAGACCATGTAGCTGCTTAGGAGCAAACCAGTAAGGGAGAAAAGAGTAATAATTCAGCGTGCATTAACAGGAAACAAATACCAAGCTTTATATATATATTATATATATATATAATATATAATAATGTACCAGTACATTATTCTCTGCACAGCGGTACATTATTCTCTGACAGCATGAAGTAGTGTGTAAGAGCTGCTATAAAGAGCATTAGACCATACCTACAAAATCTGCTGCATTTAATCAAGATAATAGACCACAGAATCTGAATAAAACAAAACATCTGCAACAGCAGTTTATTACTGGTCCAGCTTACAGCATTTGCTCAGCACTCAGACTAAGCTGACATATCAAACCCTATTGCCTTCTGCAGTAGTGGCACAAAAAGAAGTGTCTATAAAAATTCTGCCCTGCGGATCATTTAAAAGATACAAGCAGTACATACTCAGAAAACCAGTTACAATCTGGATCATCTTGTCCAAATTAAGAACAAGAAGCTGTAACAACAGTGATTATGATCAAGGATACAGCTAAATTGAAGCCATGTGAAGTGTTTTTGTTGTTGTTGTTATTGTTATTTTTATTTGTAATGGACATTTGTAATGTCCACAAGGGATCACTGCTTTGTGTTTGTGAGCCACAAACCTGTAATTGTTGGAAGTGATGAAAGAATTACACTGGAGGAACAAATGGAATTAGTGGAGATGAAACAGAATGCAACTTAACATCACTAGGAAAGCACATGAAATCTTACAATAATCCATCAATTTAGAATTACGTTATAACATATCTTCCATCAAAAAAAGAAGAAATAGGCAGGTAGATGGGCTTCATTTTGATGTTACAGCAGGTAGGAAAGTGTTCCTGCATTTTTACAGGTTGCACGAGGCGTTCTCAGGCAGGGCCATGGGGTTTGGGTTTCTACAGGTGTCTCTCCAGAGGCGTCTTCCTCCAGCTCTGCAGTCAGCCCGCGGGGCAGGTGCTTCCGTCCTGCCCACAAGATCCGGCGCCCACTTCTTCACTCTTCGTGTTAAGCCCCTCCACCCCTATGCCCCCAAGCAGAGCCACAGAATGACAGGATGGTTGAGGTTGGAAGGGACCTCTAGAGATCATCTAGTCCAAMCCCCTGCTCCAGCAGGGACWCCCAGAGCACGGGGCACAGGGCGGCATCCAGGCRGGTTTGGAAGATCTCCAGAGAAGGAGACTCCACAGCCTCCCTGGGCAGCCTGTGCCAGGGCTCTGGCACCCTCACAATGAACAAGTTCTTTCTCACATGCAGATGGAACACGTCCTTCCCCAGAATCTCCATGAGTGCTCACGAAACACTCTGCGATGCTGCCAAGTCAAGTCCATCCTTCTCCTACCTTCTCGCCTCCGGCTGGAGAACCGTGGGCAGGCTCATGCTGCCGCGTAAGGGGCCTTCACGGGAATCTATCCAGGCCGCCCGTGGGCTACGCCGACAGCTACGCCGCGAGGCCCTCCCGGGCCAACCCGCACCTACCTACTCCTGTGTCCACGTGTCCAGATGGCCCTGAGTGACCTGCGGAGACCCCCAGGCCCCACTTAAGTCCTGCCAGCGCCACCGGGCGCAGAGGCGACGCAGGCCAGATATCGCCCAGGAGGCGCCCAACACACAGAAGGGAAAGAACTGCGGCACAGCCCGGCCCAATCCAGCATTCCCATGGGGGAGGGAGGACGGCAGGAATGCTTCTTCCTTGCAATCCACACACAGCATAAAAAGGGTGTGTGTGAGGGGGGCAGAAATCACCCCTCAGGTTTTTCTTCCAGCTGAAGGAGAGACCAGATCTGGTCTCTCCCATTCAGTGAAGCTCAACTGCTGAGTCAGAGAGTGGTTTTAGACAGTTCCATCTGTCCCAACTTACTGAAAAGACTTAAAAGCAGGAGAAACCAAAGCTATTCTGTTTTTTTTTTGTTTGTTTGTTTGTTTTTAAAAACCTTTAATTATGTAAAAGGTTATGATCTATTTCTGCTACTTTTGTCATCTCTTATATCTCATTGTGAATAGTTCCCTGTAACTCTGAGATGTCAGGAATGGAAAGGCTTAACTCCCTGATTTCATAAGTTCTGTTTGAAACAAGGCACTTGTCAACATAATATGTATTTACTTGAAAAAGAAACATAGAAAGCTTTTTAGTTAGCACTTCAGGTCTCCTGAAGGTCTCCTACACTGTCAATGTACAGACTTGTAACCTGAAAAACAACCAACCAACCACCACACCCTCTCTGACCCCTTCTTGATGAGATCGACTATATGGCAGCTGCATCRTCAGCTATCCCATAGAGAAACTAATAAAAACGAAGGTAAGTGCTTGATTTCCCAGTTTATAAAATTCAGCCTCCTTGAATTTTTAGGAGTAAAGACGTCTGTCCCTGCAAGTGACATGGGCATCTAAATTCCTTCACTTGCAATCTTTGTTTTACAAAAGCTTTTTCTTCTGTACACAGTGGTAGAGCCTTCCATCACGGAGCAATGTGTTTCAAAGGGTTGTGATACAAGGCTCAGGTTATAACGTACCAGACATAGTAACATGAAACTTCAAATAATTTGGTAATACTAGATTACCATAATATTAAAAAAACATCCTTTAGCCATGAATACATGTGTGCCCTGAAAACGTGCAAGGGCAGATAATCCTTATCACTACAAAACACACCCCATGCTGTCACCAAGGTTTCTTCCTTAGGCCCATCTCCATTTGCCACGTGGCGCAGATGCTCTCAGCACAGCTAGTTCCTGGCCTTGGATGTCTGCTCTGATGGACGTCCTAAGCAGCCTCGTTTGCAGAGGGAAGAGGCTCTTTGTTTTTGAACGAGTCCATTTAGGATGGTGTCATTCAGAGCTTCCAACATGAAGCATCCAAAAATCACTAGTCACAGCAGGAAAAGTTACCCATTGAATGCAACAGGGCACTAAGCTCTCAGAGAGAAATCWTAAGTTTGTTCTGCAGTTAACACTGCACGCGTTTAGGTATAAAGACACTTAAACAAAACTGTCATTTTCATATCATCGTCTCGTTCTCATGAGGTCTGAAATCACATAAATGGAACAATCCTCTTGCTGCCTTTTGAGTGTATTCTTGACACTGAACCATAAAGGGCCATCCAAAAATAAATATTTAGCAGATCCCTGTAACACTGAACATCACGCTATCCTCTTTATTTTTCATGTCAAGGCTTTTCATAGATTTTAATCTATGTCAGATAAAGTTAACTGCTTTAGTAATATGCTCTTTTGACAACCAAAAGGGTTTCAAAACCTGTAATACAGGGTTAAATGAAAGCTTTTTAAAAAATTTTATTTTTATTAAAAAATATATTCCATACAGAAATAGTATGTCATATTTTCATAGATTTTTAAAAAATACAGTTCTGAAAGAATACCGTTCTGCTATAAGTTATGTTTATAGCAGCCACTGTACATGCAAGAGTCAAGCCTAGAACACAGTTCACGTAACAATGTTTTTTTTTCAGAAGATATTCTATAAACCTGCAATTTGTTAAACTAAACAGTATGTYGTTGGCCTGAATTTGTAAATTAAAATTTACAGTTTCGTTTCTTCAAAAGAACAGAGATCTTCAACAATGCCAGTTTTACTAYTTCTTCTGTGCAAAACCGGCCTTTAAAATTATTTCAAAGCAGAAATTTGAACAAATGCTGAAAATTTACTTTAATTTCCCAGAAACTGTAAATCAGCAGCGAAATGAACATCTTATTTCCAATCCAGAAAACTAAAAACTGGAGAATAAAGACAAAAAAGAACTTACCAAGAAGTGGAATAGCTTGGGTAACAGGAGGAGGAACACTAGTAGGTGCTACAGGCGGTGGAACAGTCCCGTATATTTTGGAACTATCACTAGTTTCTGCATTCCCTCTGGATCCAGATACCACCGTAGGGATGGGATTTCCAACAGATGCATCTTTTGTAGTGTCTTCATTTACACCAGCTGCTGTAGCTAAAGAACAAGGGCATTAACATTTTTTTTTTAAGCCAGTTTCTCTGCCTGCATGATACCYTTCTTGCACAGCCACTTGCCCAGCATTCAAACACTTACAATTTGGGATATTAACTGCTGGAGTGTGAGGAACAGATACTGGAGGAGTTATAGGTGGTGGTGGTCCAGGAGGAAGAAAGCCTATAAGAAAAGTATTTATTAACATAGTGTATCACTTAACCAAAATGTGGTTGCACAGGGCTTGTTTGTTTTTTCTCTTAAATCACATAGCCAATAAAAGTATGTGCCATATAAAGGAGTTCACAATTCTAAGCAATACATAAACCTACCTGGTGGTAAATGCATCGGGTTGAACCCTGGTCGTAAGAAGGGGGGTGGTGGCGGCGGTGGCACCCCAGGAGCAAATCCAGGAGGAGGGATCCCTAAAGGTGCTGTGAAGGCAGGGGGCTGGAGAGCACCCACCACGGGAGGACCTGAGGGATGTGGTGGAACCTGTGAAAAGGAAGAGGAAACACGTGCTGAATCAAGACTGAAGGCCTTATGGGCAGACTTTGCTTCTGTGCTTGGTCTATCAAAAAAAGAAAGTTTAAGCTACCTTACATTACACTGCAATAAGGTATCTTAAATAATTGATCTAATTAGCAGTCAAAGAACTCCAGCTTAAAATATTAACATTAGTCTTGTTCGCCTCTGTTCTTAAAGGAAGAATGACCCTCTGTGGTAGATCAATGCTAATACATGTTGATCTTGTTGATCTTCATATCTAAATATAGCCTTTATCCAGCAGCCGGCATACATTTTACTAGCCAGCATGATATACTATTTATGCCCACAACTCCAGAGCAATTTCAAAACTTTTTATTTAGTTAGTTTTTCTTAACTAGCTGAGTTTGCATATTAGAGTGACTTTTATGTTCTTCACTTCAGCAATTACTATTAGGATTTTCATTCCAGTTGATGTYAAGCTGCTTGTGGCTTGAGGCCCACCAAGAGTGAATCACCCTCCGAGCAGCTTCCCCTGGTCGGAGGGCACCCGGGCGGAGGGCGCCCCAGGGGGACCACAACGAGCGGCTGCTGGGATGCTCCAGGCAGGAAGAGGCCTYGCTCCAGTGCACGGAGGCCAAGCTCTGCACCTCGCTGCCCAGCAGCCCACAACTCCCTGGATGGGAAGAGGCTCTCAAGGCCAAGAACTACACTCACTTATGTGGGCTACAACTCTCACAGGGATGTTACTGATTTTAGGGTCTGACTGCAGCTACCTGCACCCTCGCTGGAAGGTCCAGCAGTGAGGGGTCCGTGCCCACACACGCAGCGGGTACCCAAGAGGCTGGTGTTCTCCCTGCTGCAGAGCAGGGTCACGCAGCTCCCTCTGGTACCACCTTTAAGCGAGGAGATGCAACCTGCCCTGCCTGCAGCCCAAGCACAGCTGCCACCCAGGTCCCAGCCTGAAGAGAAGGGCCTGAAGTCATCAAGGAGAGAGCACCAGGAGCTGACCTGGGCCACGGACAGCCCTGCGAGCGCCGGCTGCATTTGGCAGGTGGTTTTGCAACACATCAAAGCTGCTCTTGTGGCGTCCCACAAGGCCTCAAGGGCCCCCTGCAGCTCTGCAGCAATGAGCAGCTACCCACCACTCAGCAGCAACCTCCAGAGCCCAAAACACTGCAGCCCAGTACGCCCGAGAGCAGCTCCACTTGCACGACAGCACAAAACACATCAGACAAACTGCAAAAGGGTTCAAAAAAGTGATTTCAATGAAAAATGGCACTCGATGTGCTGTTGCCTTTAGGTACTGTGCCACGTTTTGCTATATGAATAGCAAAACCAAGTTACTTTTACCTCTAACACCATCTATACCATGACAGCTGAACCAAATTTGTAAGCTTTGAGATCTATTTACAGATTATTAAGCTATTTTAATTTATGGTGCTCTGGAGAAATAATCGAACTGGTCAAGTATATTACATCCTAAATAGTAAGAACAATAACAAACTGTTTTTATACATACAGTTCACGGTGAAGCCAGAGACAAAGACCCAATACAGCTCCCTGATCCTAGTCTGATTTTGCAAAGACTACAGGAGAAGCTCCTTTGCCATAGTAAAAAAAATTACCAGACTGAGAGAGACTGGAGACTGGAACAAACTCACCTCACTCTCATGTTACGAAACTGGTGGGTTTCTTATTTACGCTTTGTTTTGTGGTGTGAATTCAATGAAAATAACAACAACACTAACATTACAGTTAGTTTTAGTGACAGCTACTTTGTACTAAAGCCTTCCAAATTTCAAGATTGGAGCCACTTGTTCATTTATTAAAAATACCTTACAGTATTACAAGAATTCTGTGTCAAAACAGCACAGAATTAAGCATTCCAAGTTCTGAAATCACGGGCTTGGATAAAGTATTTTTGTCTTTGAATAACTGCAGTTCGTGATCTTTTTTTCTGCATATCTGCCAAGCCGTAGTTCACAAATCGTATTTTCCCCAAGATTGAAAATAGTTTTATTCAAAGTTCTTCCTTTTGGGAGAAGGTATATTAGTACTTTAAGCGACCAGAAAAAACAATTACAATAAGACTAGCAACAAGCATTTGTCAAGAAGCAAAGCTAAAAGAAAAACAGATTATTAAACACTAGAGGGAATAACTTTTTTTTTTCTTTTTTTTTTTTTTACTGTAAGATATTTAAACTAACATTTACTCTTAACATCCCTTCTCAAAACATTTTGAGTTTTACCTTACTTTGGATGTGACAGGCCACGGCCGCATGTTGGTTCAGAGCGACGGGAGGGTTTTGAAGCAAACCCTCTGTCAGTCACTCCCACTAACCACGAGCTGCCCCAGTTCCCAGGCCCCGTGGGTACATGCAAACTACGTCCCTTTTCAAGGGAACGAGACCAGAAGCTCTGTTCCTGCTGGGCACAAAGGTGCTCCCAACCTAACGGGTTTGGTTTGTCCAAGTCTGCCATTGCTACTGGCTTAACAGAACAGGAAACTTTCTTCAGTTACCTTGTGTTGCTCTTTTATGAGGGAAAGAGTAAGTAACCCCATTCCAGGGGCACAGTGGATTTACAGCACAGAGAAATTACCTGTACAAAGTGCCAGCACGGCCAGTCTGCTCACAAGAGCAGTTATAATTGAGGACAATAATGCGAAACACACAAATTCGGCTACTTAAGCTATCCATCATCATGTCTCCTCCCTTTCTATAACCTCTTTATTGCCACCCTGCATTATTATTTAAGTTTTGATGAGATACCCAGAGCAAACAAGAAGCAGCTCTCACCTGTGGAGGAGGGACAGTTATTGGTGCAGGCATGGGAATGGGAATTGGAACGGGTAAAGCTTTAGGTATAGGTGACACTGGTTCATTGTGTGTAGCTTCTGCACCTCCGTTTTGAGCTACTTCATTTTCAGCCTTCTTGGGAATCCCTTTCCACTCTACATTAAAAATAAAGGAAGAAAAAAAAAAAAGGGTTCAGTAGAAGTGGACAAGCAGTCAAGTACTGACATGAAAAACCACTAAGTTTTGTAATGTTTAAAGAAGAATGAAGCCAACTAAAACTATTTTTCAAAGAGAAACCTACAGAAATAAACTTTATTTAAAGAGTATTTCTGAAAATAAAATCTCCAAAATACGTTTAATACAGTAGAGCAAACCACTGTCACTGAAAGAGGGCAAGCAAATCTATTCCTTTTGTTAGTCCCTTCACAGTTCTACTGTTTGTGCCAACTGCACACGTGCGTGTCCGGGACTCTAGGGCGCCCCAGCTGGAGCCAAAGCAGCAAGGCTGCTCCGGKAGGAGCTTTCAACAGATTTCATTATTCTTGGGCAAAGCAGCAGCTTTTCATTTATTTGAAAAGTTGTTTCTGAAAATCCAACCTTTACAACTCTTAAAACAAAATGAAAATGCAACAATGCAGAATCACTACCAAACAGGAGGAACACCAGCTTCAGGTTTAAAACCACATTTCAGTAGTTAAAGAACGTATCATTCAATAGTTGCATAGTTAAGATCAGCAAAATAATCCATAGCATAGCGCTAGTTCAATTTTTAGGCAAGTGCTGCATTTATTTGGCATTACTTTTAAAACCACAACAGCTAGCACTAAAGCTTATCCCTAGCAATTCCATCCTGACATAACCTATAATTGATTTGGAGCTACTGATTCTAACAGATGTAAATTTTTTAATTCAAAAAGAAACAAAATCTGCTCTTTTCTCGGCTTCTATGCAAAACGATTTGGGTCAAATTAAACACACCACCTGTGAAAGGAACTGAAATTCTCCTATTAATATGGAAACGAACAAAAAGAGGCAGTGTGAATGGAAATGCTTTATTCTGTACACAAGCACTTCAAGCGGAGTCTCCCTGGCTAGGGATGCTTCCCACAACCRGGAGGGCCAGCGCCGGCTCCGGGGCTGCCGAGCAGCACGCGCTCCCGGCCCGGGTTGCTGTGCAGGGCAGGCTGCAGCGCAGCTGGCCGGTCCCCGGCAGCCCGAGCACCCTGCACTCGCCACCGCCTAGCGCTGCCCGCCCAGGGGCCCTGCAAGCCTCAGGTTGCACGTCCTGCATCTCTCAGCCACGTGAGGGCTGCTACACGCAACCCAGGAGCGCCAGCCACACCAACTACCACAGCACGGGGACAGCTGCTTAAAAACACTCCTCAGCTCTCACGATATTGTACCTGGACAAAGGGTTTCGTTGTCCAGCATTCCTCCTTCACAAAAGCTTTCCAGATCTTCAGGCTTCACTTTGTCCCATGGTATGTAGGTCACACCCAATTCGACATCCCAATACTGCTTGTAATCCGGCTTTATTCCTTTATTCAAAGCCCATGCAATCTTGGGGAAAAATGAAAACATGTTACTGACTACATATATTTTAATGACTTCAGGTTTTCACTAAATAGCAGTACAGCTTGAGGTTAGGAAGCAAAAAAGAATACTCTTAATTCAAATGGCAGGAAAAGTAGTTTAATTACAAAACTCAAATAAGTTACTTAAAGCAGAATTAATTTTTGCATGCTATTCTGACCAGTGGTTGCATGCAGTTTTTAAAAGAAGCATAAAAGTGGTTTCTTCAGGAGTTCCCAGGTCATTTCAGCTAACTTTGTTTTGCTTCAGAGGACAGTGACCCTCTCTGGCATAATGTCCTACAGAAGAAGGAACTTCAACAATGAATGACCGCTACCACATRATTATATGGTAAGACTTCAAAGGGTATTAATAAAGCTCAGTTATAAGAAAAAGTAACCAGCACCAAAAAAAACCCACAGTTAACAGTGCACAGTTATGATTAAAAGACACACACCCTTCTTGCTGGTGGAAGATACAATTATGGCCAGTCTCCTAGGGAAACTTACACAAGTTCTGAGTCGCTCTACAGAACAGGAAGAAAACTTACCAACATAAACACGGCTCATTCACATAAAGTTACAAAAGAGCATATCTAGAATGCACACAAGTCCAGACTACAGTAAAAAATACAAGAACTACAGTAATTTTAGCACAATTTGACACTTTCTAAGAAGTACCTTTATAGATTTCTGGTTCACTTTGAAGTTGCCTCGGCTCAGTTTCTGTAGGGCACGGTAAGCGTCTTGCCTGTGAACCATTACAATATAGGCACATCCTCTAGGCGGTATCATCTGTTCGTATTTTAAGGAAAAAAAAAATAAAAAAAAAAAAAACATTTTTGCTACCACAGCAACAAAGCAATGAATAACATGTAACAGTTTAGCTGCAGATCAATGGAACATCAGTAGGTTTCTCAGAAGGGACTACAGAAGCATGACATCTTTAATGTTTAAAAAGCTCAAGTATCTTCCTGAAATGAAAGATACTGGTAAATGTGAAGCAACTTCTTACGTAGGAAGCTTATAATTGTATTCCATGAGAGAAGATTGCAATTGACATTGCATATTTAATCCTTARAAATGGCTAAGTAGTAGTACTCGTGTAAGCGCTGTGGCCTTGGAATTAGTTAATTTGCTTCTTGTTTGGAAGAAACAAACAACTCTGATACTTGGAACTTTACTCCAAATCTCGAACTGCCAATTACACCTTCATATTCAATTTTATCTGTAGGTTTATTGCAATTTTTATTATTTTTAATGCATTTGAGGAAGAAAAGAATTCATCTTGTTTTAAAAAATTTGAAAAATGCAAGAAAGTTACAACTACCAGTTGGGTTGTTTTGTTTAATGAAAATCACTACTGAAACACAACTATTGTTCATCTACAAAGTATTCTTATCACAACAAATCGTAATAATGCTTTGCCAAGCTTATCTAAAATAACAGAATAGAAACAAGAAAGAGCAACAAAAACGCCACTGAGGGTAAATCTTTCTATAACTAGACAACAAAAGGAAGCAGAAAAAACAAGGGAAAAAAAAAAAAAGAAACCCTTAGTAGCACAGAATTTGCCCTATGCCCACCTCCTCAATGGCCTTTTATCACTAGAGAAAGCTCGAGTTTTATGAAAATAGGGTCATCTTCTGGACTAACCCCAAGGGGGTTGTCTTTTTTTTTAAATGGCAAGCTACACTAAAGCAACTGTCTTGTCGTCCCCTTTCCCCCACAAACCACACCAATGAACTGAGTCTACTGGTTAGAAAACAGAGACATTCTGTTAGAACACAGAAAAAAGACAGCTGTTGAATGCTATGAATATAAGAATATAATCGATTTTTTTTTCTTTTTTTTGGCTTCTCATAGACTGAAAAGTCTTTTTGCAACCAAGGCATATCAATGTAGCTTGCACTATGCCATTTATACTTACATTTATTGATTCAATCGGGCCAAACTCCTCTAAAAGACTTCCAACGTCCTGCTGAGTAGTCCTTTTGTCAAGTTGTCCGACCCAAAGCGTAGTACTACAGACTACAGTCAAAAAGAGTCAACACAAGCTTAAAAAGCACTTTTAAGTACAGATTTCAAAAGTCAAAAATGTTAGTCACGTTAATGTCACTTATCACATCCAAATGAAAAAGCCTGGTGATATTGAAATCTATTTTGTAATCTTCAAAGGGAGTATGTGAAAAGCTCTTCTTTTTGTTTGCCTGAAGTTAAGAGTTAAAAACAACAACTGCATCACAGTCAGGTACTGTTAGAATGCACTCACTAATAAGCTCTCTAGTTAATTAATATTAACAAGGGACTTGCAAGTGCAGGTCGTGAGCTCTGCAAAATATACAAAGGAAAAAATGCTTTGTAGCCAACACTGCTTTATGAAATATCTTCCCAAAACCTATGGTGGATATTCCACAACAAGGGAACTCCCTTTAACCACTATGAAACCCAAGCTACTGGCCAGCATCACCAATTACAAGATACTTACTAGCCAAGTAATACTATATACTTACTAGCCAGAAAATACAGATAAGACTATTTTATGGTGACACACTCACTACTATAGTGAGATTCTTCTCGAGAATGAGCTGACAAATCAACTATAATGAGTAACAGGACTTATGTCTCTTGAGTGACCTATTCAGTGCCATTTACTTCCATGTTTAAGAGAAAAAAAAATACTGGAAGGATTAAAAATATCCTGTGATGAAAGAGCGAGCAACATGCTTATATCTCACTTCTTTTTTCAGGCTAATAAAACATTACATGAGCTCAAAATATTATATTCTCAGAAGACTGTTATGGCAACTTTTAACACTCATCATCTATGTTTTCCCCACTAAGTGAAATATAATTGCCAGACGTAAAGAGCCTGATGTGAGAAAACCTGAAGAAATGTTGGCTAAAGTGTATTTTACAACAACACTGCTGGTGAGCTTTTAAGCTAGGCTACCAGCTTTGGTATTCCTTGTAAATAAATGGTATCTTTTTCGTCTTTTTGATTGTTTGTTTTAAAGCTTTTGTGCCTCTTACATCACGAAGAATGTTCTCGTTTTACTTGATAATTACAGGGAAGATTTCACATCCCCAAGAACAACAACCACCACATTTTGTCTATAAACACAGGCACAGCCAGGATAATTTCAGAATTGAGAACATTAGCCTTTCTGTTTTCCAGGTCAAAGCTCCTCTACAGATTTGATACACACACCATAGAATCATTATAGAAATTATAATCATGTGCTCARCTTGCTGTTTCATCTACTTTACAGGTATCAAAAGAAAGAAAAATGTGCTTCAGCTTTTTCCTTCCTCATTTTAGAGCCAAAATATTTCCAACTTAGAAATATTCCAAAAAGGCCAAATTGTCTAATATGAAGGTAAGGAAGAGCAGGGATAAATAATTAATAATAAACTGGCAAATCTTATCTAAACTCTGTCTCAGATCTCTATTGCTTTAAGTACTGAAAACTGAGCAAAAATATACAAAACTATGAAAAGTATAAATATATATATATATATAAAATATATATATTTTTAACAATCTACTGAACTCTCTCTGGCATGTTTTTTTGGTAAGATAACAGTTTGGTAAGTAAAACACAAAAAAGTCAGTTATCAGTGAATTATTTCACATCAGTGAAATATTTCTGTCAGAAAGAGTTGTCTTTTGGGACAGCCTAAGAAAACATTATGTAATGAAGTGGACTGGAGAAAAGATATATATAAAAAAATAAATATATATATATATTTATTTTCCTTCACATTTGTAATTGTTTTAAAATATCTATCTTATTAGTGTACTCTTACAAAGGCAAAGCATTTGTTCGAAAACACTGTGATTTCTTCAAGCTTCAGAGAACGCTAGAATTTATTAAAATAGTGGATACTATTTTACTATAGTAGTTTATTTACTATTTACTAGTTTATYTACTATAATAAACAAACACATGTATCTGAACAGGACAGATCTTGAGCAGCTGAACAAGGGCACTAGTAGAACTTGCCAAGCATCATGGACAAGAAACAGGAGGGGCCCACTTACCGCTGACAGTTTCTGACTTGATCTGCGGGAGGCCCTTGGACCTGCGCTCCCTCTCCCTCTCGCGCTCCCGCCTCTCCTGCGACCGTGACTTGGGCGAGTGCCGGCGCCGGTCCCGGGATCGCGAGCGGGACCGGCGGTGGCGGGACCGCCGAGACCTGGAGCCTGAGCGYGAACGCCTCCTCTTAGGTGACCTAGTTCAAACAACAATTCACTTTCAGTCCTTCYGAGCCAGACACAAACAGAGAGACAGGCAGCTGCTTCATGTATCTAACAACTGAACTGAACTGAACTGAATTAGTTAGTAAACAACACAAATTCAGGACCATTCACACGTATTTCACACTAAGGCAAATTATAACAGCTGCACTCCAGCCAAACATTTCTAATTACATAGAAACAATTTAATTTCTAACCTTCTCTTTATCAGTTTTACATTAAAGTGAGAAGCAAAAATAGGTCATATTATAAGGGAAATAAAATGATAGCTCAGGGTCTGGAAGAGAGAGCAAACCTTCAAAGAAGCCCTATCAAGTTTGGCAAAGGAGAAGACTGGTAACTAAGTAGATGGTTTTGCTCAAGTCCTGGAGCCAGCTCTGTTAGGTCCTGGGAAATTGCCTCTCTGACAGGCAGAGGGAACCTCAACACGCCAGATCACACATCTCTTGATATGAAAAAGCGTCTTTCAAATACAGACAAAATGATCACATTCTGCCTCGGTATAATTTAGCTAGCACTGATGGATGTGAAAGTTACTCTCTGCTAGTAAAGAAAGAACTGCATGAATCTCCAGTTTTCCTTAGCTGGCTTTCAGAGGTGCACAAACCCTTTACTTACTGATCTGTCTCCATTACCAGGGCATTCAAAGAATCAGCTTCTCTGAGCACCAGACCTTCTCTCCTTATAACACACACACACACACACACACACACGCACACATATTCAAAGCTGATTGTGGACATTAATAACTAAAGCTTATGTTGAATTCCAACAGTTGATACAATGTATACCTTAATTAAAAGAACTTCCACTAATTTACCTTGATGCAGATCTAGATCTTGACTTTCTGCTGTCAGAAACATGTCTTTTTCCTTCTTGAATAGGGGGCTGTTCCACTTCCATATCCTGAAATATTCAGTTTGACTGTTCTTATTCTGAGCATTTTATTTCATTTTGTGTCTTAACTGAATTACAGAACAGCATTAAATATATTTAAATGTTTGAACATCCTTATATTTAAAGAACGAGCTATGCCTTAAAACGTAGTAGTTTGAAACTGTGAACATATACCAAAGAAATGGAGATYATAAATATATATCCTCTTGCTTAGGTTGAAAGGAAACAACACAAGGACAATTCCTAGATACAGGAGATTAAAAAAAAAAAAAAAATTCCCCAAGCAACAAGCACCATGCTAACCAATCCTGCAAGACAATTCTCCTGGAAGGCATCCAAAACATAGAGAGTCCTGCCCAAGCTTTAAATACTGTTCATGATGCAATCCTGTCTCAAACTTCAAGACTAACAAACCTGGCACGAAAACTCTCGAAAAGGAGCTCCCCTTTTAGGATAATTTCTCGAATCTGTGATATCAGTCGCCACTCAAAGACAGCTTAGTACCGTTTCTCTATTTAACGCTTCCTTTTCTTGGAATAAAAGAAGTAAAAATATTCAAATTCTGAGCGCATATAATAATTTTCAGGACCCCAACATTATCTACAGGTTCCTAAAGAACTCCTTTAATAACTTTTTAGATACAGAATGTTAGCCTCTACTTTAGGAACCCCTAAAATTTTATTTATTTATTCATTTAGTCCTTAAGACAGGCTCAAAAACAGTCAAACAGTCTTACTCTTTGATTTCTTCTTARCGGAGCCAGTTACTAAATGAACAACACCCTTCAAAAGCTTAGGAACAGGAGCAAAGGGTTTTGGTGGTTTTTGTTTTTCAACAAATAAATAAAAAGAACCTTTACAGACTTCTGAGTCCACTTCCATTATTTCAAAAAACTAGCTTTCTCARATGGCTTTTCTCCAGAATTAGAGTATGTTGTTTGGCTCTGGTGTTGTTGACGTGGTTGTCACGTAGCACTGTGGCTATCCAGATTTCTTGTAGATAAACTACCCTTACAGACATCTCCACACATGGTTTATGTGATATTTATTCTTCTGAAGAAATCATGTATATTTGAGAAAGTTAAATATTAAAACATAAGTACTTATAATATTGAAAAGGGTCCCCACCTGCTGATGTGTTTTCTGCATATGTGTTTCAGTTTGTACAGGGAAAGGAGTCTGAAATGTCTGCTGCACCGGTGCTGCTGGCGGAATCACAGGCTGAGCCAGGGGTGGAAACTGCGGCGTAGGCAGGAGACCGAAACCCGGCATTTGCCCGTTAGGAGGAAGTGGAACCTTCAGGGAAAAAGGAACAGACTTCCAGTTAGGATAAAACCCTATGAGACTTCCTGGTTCAGTCACAGCAAAACCGTCCATCTGCTCCAAAGCCACAAAACAAGAGCAGAAGCCTGAAAGTAGCAGGTTAACCATCCTATGTGCAGAGCCAGAAACAAAAAGCTGTATTAGAATAYAGCATAGGAACACCTTTCTTTGGAAAGCTGGAGAGCTAAGCCACGCTCACTTGTCACTTAGTGGAAGCACCTCCTCTGTGCTTCTCCACCGAGGAAAAGGAAAAAAATCAAAAAAGACTAGGGCAACAATTTAAAAAAACAAATATCTTTATTAAATTTTCAAAAATTACCTGGTGGCGCATTGGGTCCTGTTGCATTCCCATCATTCGTTGCTGGAAAGGATCCATATTTGGGAGTTGTGGAAATACTGGCTGTTGCATACCTTCTGCTGGAAATCCACTGAAAACAGTAATATTTTGGTGAGGAAAGTCAACAGACATACAGTTTTCTGCTTTTCTCTTACATATTTATATATGCATTTACACATTCTTGCTTCAAATTCAGAAAGAAAAGTTATCTTCAGTGAGATCCCACCTTTCCTCTGAAAAGCAAAAACAAACCCAGGAAGAACGGAAGAATCCATTTTAAGACGAATCCTTTTAGCATTGTAAAAAATGCTACAGAAATGCTACATGTTTAAACCTCTTTTCCCCCTGTACTTAAACGATCCTGCTAAACTCCTTAGCGTAGGGAAGCAGCTCAGGAAGACTGTCTACCCYGGTCTAACCTTCTTACCAGTTCCTCCTTCAGGAAAAACACAAATGACACTTTTTCCTCAAGAAAAAACAAAATTAACCATATTTTTGCTGGGAAAAAAAAAAAAAAAACACCCCTTTATTCTCCAAGCTTTAGAACAGAAGCTTGAAGTCTGGGAGGAGCAAGGCAGAGGAGAAGGGACATGTCTGTCACACTGGGGCTGCAGTAACGCCACTCGCTGCCTGATTCAACACATGGAATGGACAGTGCTCAGGGAATTAATGAGGTTTGTGCAGGGACCAGGACCTGTTTACAGGAGGCTGTTCATGAAAAAAATAAACAGGATTACATGAAGATAAAGGAATTTCATGGTGATATGAATGCAAGTGTGCAGTGTTTTGAAATAGAGGGGTCCTAAAATTCTCACATGTTTCTCAACAGCTCAGTTCTTCACAGAGAGAATCTCTCATTTTGTATGCACTACTAGAGTCCTAGAACCCAATTTTCAGAAGCATCTTACTCAACTATAAAGTCATAAGGACAACGGCTTTAGAGTGCTATAAACAGAGTATAAAATGCTGCAAAGCCTAGTCCTATGATCTCTAACTGAAAATACACAGACAGCAGATATATTTGACCTACCTCATCTTTCTGAGCCTCCAGAGTTCCCAGCTGTGTAATGGGGAAAATGCTACAAATTTACCTAAAAGGCATTTAAGTCAACTAGTACTTGTGGAACATTAAAGTGTTGTAGGTGACTGAACACAGTAAGAAAGTTAATGAAAACACTATTGATTCTATTTTTCAGAGCRGGGTTTGGATGGCATGTACAGAAATAAGACATGGGGGCCACATACTGAAGCAGGGAGAAAAGAAATAATGACTAACCCAGGTATTGAGCACCATCCAGCCTGTGCACTGAATGAGAGAGAGGTCCTGTGGAAAAAACTAGCATGTGATCATGTAACTAAAGACTTTCTCATAATGCATATCAAAGGGGGAAAAGGGGTCTGAATTAGTTTGCATGGGTGTTTAATGTGAGATCTTAAAGCTGCAAATCCAATCTTAAAACTGAAAATAGTTAATAGTTTTTAAAAGCACTCTAAAATTTGAAACTGCCCCTTTGCCGCTGCCAGCAAAGCAATCCAGCTGATTAATAACAAGGCCTTCACACACTTGGTTGTGCAGTAAAAACACAAAGCTCATCTTGCAACCCAAAACAAACTCTTTCCATCAAACACATTCCTCAAGTCAGTGATGCAACATGCCAGACTTACACTGGAACACGGAAGTAGGAAAACCCAACTGCTGCTTAGCAACATTTTAACTTGGGAGACTAAAACCTAAACACTTGAATAATGCAGATTTTTAACCAAAGCTTTGTTCTGAAAATCTTTGGGCTCCAAAACTTACAAAGCTGGCTGAGAAATTGATGGAGAAGGAGCTGAATCTTCCTTCTTTGGATCCTCCACAGCTTCGGGTTCATCATCATAGTCAAATCGATCTAGCAGCTTCTGAAATAAATTACATTGAGACAATTTTTTTTCAGTATTTTATAGAGCAGGCAACAGAACTGCCCTCATTAGCAATGTCTTACTATTCATGCAACAGCTCTGGAACTCCCAAAAAAAACCCCAGAAACAGAAACAGAGAAAATACTGAAGTCAACCAAACTTTTCAAAACGGATTTTAGTCAGCTTTGGAAAGAACAAGAAGTCTACACGTGGTGAAAAAGAACAGGAAAGCAACCTCCAAACTACAAGACAAGGAACCAACATGCACTGTTTATTCCTAACGAACGGCACACACCGAGGTCATGCATCAAACAATGTTCTGTTAAGCTGCTAAACTAACTAACAAAAAGAGCAAGTCAGCTCTCACCTTGTCAAACGATGTTTTTTGCTCGGGTGGTGCGAAAACAGCTTTTTGTTCTGGTGCTTGCGCTGCAGCCGCTGCTGCCGCCGTAGTCTTCAGCTGCGCAGTAATGGCTTGAACCTGAGCCATCACAGTGTTATCGATGACCGGTGACTGGGGCTTGGGAGGCTGCTGGAAAGTCTGAAGAATCTGCTGAAGCTACAGGACATAYGGAAACATTTTTTGTTTGGTTTGAAAGCAGAAAAACTAACATGGATGCTCTTTACAACCATTCAGAATTTGAAAAGTCAGGTGTTTAAGATTAAAAACAGGGTTAAAAACATATCTGGGGCAATAGTAACTCCCTCCATTTAATAGCTGAATCAGTACAACAGAGTTAATTTTACAGTGTTGCAACAAAACTTTTTGGTGGAAAGGCAAGGAGTTTTGAAAGGAGAGCGGCAAATACATCCAACCACTTTAACCTTCCTCATTTTCAACAATCAAGAAGAATTCTTCCCACAAACCAGAAAACCCTTTTAAATTATACCAGATTATTCCAGTAACGACTATTGTTTTATTTTAARCTTACTCAGTTACTCATTTTAAGTTATGAATCACTTTCAATCACTTCAGTTTTCAATTACACCAGTTTCAGCTTACTAGTCTCACTGGATAAACTGATGCACATTAACAAAATTTCCCTCAAAAGCAAGTAGCGAAAGCTGTGACAAACTTTGAACAACTAAACAACATCAACCCAGGAGAGAAGATTAGTTGTGATGAGATTAATGACTGTCAAACTGAATTCATAGCAACGCAAACAAATCTTTTTTTTTTTTTTTGGTAGGGAAAAGATGACAGATACAAGGGAAAAGGTCCCTTTTTAATACCCCATTGGCAAACTTCAGCAGATGCCAAGATTACAGTACTCAAACATTTCAGCACTATAAACACTTTATCAAGTGTATCAAAAGTAAATTAGCAAATATATAGCTGTATGAAGTGAGAGGTAACACTTTACAAATACAACTGCAATTATGTAAACAGGGACACAGATGCAGGCTGCATGCATGCACAGATGCATTCAAATGCAGGCTTTAAGCCTTACAGGTTTCCCATTCAAGACTTCGGAGAGCTTTTTGTTTTTCAAATGAGAAATGAGAGAGCTTTTTGTTTTTCCAACAAGAAATACCATTTCCATCTCTTCCCCCTGCCCATTCCATACTTCACACACCAACTGGGTTAGCGGGGAATGCAATGAAGATCCGCTCACCTGCTGTCCTTGTGTTGTCTGGAAGAGCTGAGCTACAGCCGCAAAGGCATCGGAACTGGGCAACTGTGGCACAGTGGGTACGGAGTTAACGGGGACTTGAGGGGGCTCTGAAGAAACCTTTGCTGGAGGGGGCGGCGAACCTGGGGTTGATGAGGTTCAGAAAGCACTGGATTAGTCCAAAAGCTTTGCATTCCTCTGCTGTGCAAACATCTACCTTCTCACAAGCATTAYCTACAGCACAGTCCCCAAAGCCAGCATTCCCCTTGGCACTAGCTCAAGAGCACCTTCTATCCTCTTGTTTTCCCCCCTTTAACTGCTTTATTCGCTGACCACATCTGGGTATCATATACTTCAAGATACACACACAAATAGGCTCCCTGAAAACTAGCCCAGAATGGTATTTCACCTCAAAATTTGTTGTTTGTAACAACCTGCCTACAACTGGACAGTTAGGAGAAAAACTATCATTCAAGCAAAGTTAATCAATGACAATCAATACCTCATATTAGCTCTACTGGCAAGGTTTTAAAAACTTAACACACTTCTTAATATGTCAAATAAACCATATAATGGTTTAAGAGAAACTCTAGAGTTTTTTACAATTGTGTTCCTTTAATCTGTTTGAAATATAGAAGATAGAGAAAGTATTTGCTAGCAATAACCAAACTTTCGCTGGGAAGACTGGTAATTATGGTTATTAAAAATATTTCAACAAATAGTTTGTTGACTTTGTTGGTTTACTTTGGTAAGGTTTGCGCATGTGCCGTTTTTGTGTAAACATAAGCCAAGCCTGTATTTGATAAGTTAAACATCCTAAAAATCAGCTTTTATTCATTCTTTCAGGAAGAGACTATCTGCACTGAGCTTTACTGAAACTAGAGGAAATTTTAAGACATACTGTGTTATCTTTGACTTCACGAGTAGCTTTCCCATTTCTTAATAAACATTTCACTAGCACAAAGTAAATCAGCAGTCAGTGTCATCAATTCTTGAATGCTGGGAGCAAGCAACTCTCCTTTGACAAGTATTTCATTAAAATAATTAACTGTACTATGAAACAGTTCAAGGGTAGAAGCTTTTAAAAAACTCCCATCACAGTAAAGGTGCCTTACTATTATTRTGATTCAGAATTAGACAACAGAGAAATATGAGTTTGAAAAACAAAGCAAATATGCTTGCCTGACAATACCACATTCTTTAAAGCCATTAATCTGTTTGCAGTTTAAATAACTGCAGTGTTGACGTACAGCAGGCAGGGACAAACATGTTGAATAACATTTTTCCAGAAGTCAAATGCTATAGAAAAATCCTGCAGAAAGATACTTGTGATTGTTTTGAAACATAATTTAACTCCCAAATTACTTCCTGTCTATATTCAGAAGGATATTTGCCTGCTCAAGGGAGAAGCTATTTACATTTCACTCTTTTTGGGGGCTAAACAGACTCTGCCGCATTACAGAGTGAACAGACTTTCACATAATGAGTAATAAATATATTAATATATTAATATGCTTATTTCCGAGCCAAATTATCCTATCTGCTGCACTTGCATAATCTCATTGAGATCAGTAATTCTGTACATGTAAATCCACGCAGAAGGCACACAGTCTGTTAGCTACCAGTAATGACACAGATGGAAAACAGAGCCACTCACCTGTCACAGGCAACTGCAACTGCACAGCCAGCACCTAAGCTCATAGGCTGAGGTATTTCTCCCCTGCCCCACCAGGTTTAAAAAATGCCAGTAAACACGCTTTCCTAAACACTGCTGGAGAAATTTCTCCATCATTATTTCACTATTTGTCACCACAGCTCATTCACACCATTATATTTTTTGCCAGTCCTACTCTAACAGGCTTCAGGGCAATAAAAATGGAAGGTACCGAACCTAAGTCGAAAATATAGAGTACAAAATGAAAGAGGCCCTCCAAAGAAAGAAAGTGTAATATGCACGTTTTCTTCCTCAGTTCAAGTGCCTTGCTGCCTGCTCTTTGCATGCCAGCACGTAAATCACTGAAAATACTATGGGCAGATTGTCACCATTAGAGCTCAGGATTTTCAACCAGCAGTCCATATAAAAGTGTCATTAGGCAAAAAAAATTAGTGTTCAGCGATCTGAAAAGCCAATATAAAATATTTTGGGGGTTGCAAACTGAAAGAGATTGACAGCAACTGCCTTCAGACTAATTCTGTATGACAAAGCTCTTACATGCAAGATCATGGTTTACTGCTCCAGATTCTAACAGCAACAACAAAAATATATATATATACACAATTCAGGAGAAGAAAATATACAGGTATGTCAAACCAATAAGAAAATATGCACATGTGCACAAATGCGTACATGCCATATAAAAGATCAATGACTTTCCCATAATTTCCAGGTACACATAGGAAGCGGAGTACCAGCATATATTTAAAATGAGTTCAGCAGCTCCACATACAGCTAACAGTAAAGCCAAGGTTATTAATGTTACTCCTGCARCTGTGAGTAGATGCCTTACAAAATTCTTTATGTTTCCTAAAGAAATTCTAGTACCATTTTACCTTTTAAAAAGAGCAAGGAAAAGCTGTCCTGCCCTTCCTACCTTCATTGTTAGTAGCATTTTCTGTCATTGGGGCAGCAGTACTAGTTCCCGCTGCCATATCCAGGAGAGGCTGAATGATCTCAATTTTAAACACTCCGTTTTTCTGCCAAAGGTTCAGGACACGGACTATTTTACTCTGTTGAAACAAAAGGAAGAGACAASACTAAATAAAGCTTTTGGAATCCACAAACTCCCAATTCATCCTCAGCAGTGGAGTTTACCAGAATCAAACATGCCCTTTAAACAGCCGCCTAAAGCGTCACGTAGGTCTGTAGGACATGAGGTATAGGAAAGAAGCTGCCCATTTCCCTTGCTGTTCCCTTGAGCAGGAAGAGGCAGTTGTGCTGTTTGTCTTAAGCTGCTGTGGCCAACCAGAAGGCACAGGTTTGACACACCAGACGGGCAGTCGGCCACCCTCACCACGTCTTCACTGAGGGTCATAAGGGAGTGAAGCAAACAGCAAAGGCAGCAGGGAAGACCTGCTGGAAAAGCCTCCATAGAGGGCGAGTAGAGCAGCAGATACCCTACTATACCCATAGGGTAAGCTGCCTGCTTCTATTTTTTGTCTACTAATGCAAAGAATTCTGTGCTGACTCCAAGAAGCCGCTCTCCATCAGTATCTGAAAGAACAAGGGAGCCTGTGGAAAACATTCTGATTACTGCAGAAAGATGAAATCACAACCTCTGATTGTCAGCTCCCTGAAAAACCGGAAAACAAAAAGGAAGGCCAAAAATGAGTAAATTTAATATCCTTGTTATCAGTTACTTGTTAACCTCACGGAAACACATCATTCTCTTTTGGTATCATCCGTAGTTATATAATAACTGCAGAACTGTTGTTTATATGCTAGCAATTCAATAAAATAAGCACGCTAAAAATAATATTACTTCCCCAGTGGAAAGGATCTTAAAATTATTTTTGTAGTGAGGTATCAGGTAGTTCCATAAAGGAAATGGATGATCTAGCCCCTTTAGGTCAACAAAATGGCAAGCACAAAGACAGAAACAAGTAAGGCCGGCTCTGTTTCGCAAGAGTTCTACCATAAGGTTTTGCAGCGTTRGACTGAAGGTCTAAAGGACCGCAGCAAAGCCTTTCAAAAGCTGTTGTATCAGTTAGGAGAAACATATTTTACTCTCACAGGATTACAGCTATGGAAACAGGTGAGCAGGTAATTTTCTGGAAATCACTTGGCAACTCCTAAATCGTACTGCTCTTGGGAGCCTTTGGAAACCGTGCCAACTTGGGGTATAAAAAAAAAAAAAAGGCTTCTTTTGGTAGCAATTACAGCCCTAATCAATTCAGCGTACTTTGAGATTCTGCTCTTCCACCAGGTAAGGCCAAAGAAAGAAAAATGAGGCCTTATGTCCTTACATCTTGACAATGGAGAGCTGGAATTGTTAAGTATAGGATTTGTAAAAGTTGCAGAAATCAAGATCATGGTTCTATTAGAAAAGAAGTCTGGATGTAGAACCTCAACTGCTCACAAAATTCACATTTTTTTTCCWACGCATTTTTCATTCCGCAGAAAAGAGAGGCCACCTTCCATACTTAAGTTTCCCTCAAGAAGCCTCAAGAAAAAGGTTTTAGCATAGTCACAAAACATTCAAATGCCCACTCGCAGATCAACAACAATTAAGTTACACAAAATAATTTCATAGCTAGAATTGACCCACTTAAGAAACACCTTTAATGATCTCTCCCAACATGTTTTATCATCTGTAGTAACATACACCGTAACTGACACGGCGAATTGACACCAAATTATGACRACATCAAATCAGCTTTCACAAGTAGAAATACCAAAGAAATGCTGAGAGCAATTCAGAACGCATGATAAAATACAGGTATACCTTGTCTTCAGATGGACAGAGATACAAATACTGGAATGTGGCGGTAATATTTTTAGAGAATCTTGGCCCAAAAACATCCTTGTCCGTTCCAAACTGGTGACGAGACTGACGAACAATCGAGTCAATGACATACAGTCCAGGGACTTTGTATTCTGGTTTGCACTGGAAACAAAGTAATTTTCCATTATGCATGGGTACTAAGAAGGCAACATACATGAAAGCTTACTCTCCATAGCTGCTGGAATAAAATAGTTTGATTCATCTCTAGAGCTATGAAGATTCCAGGAAAGACTATGTCCAGCACAATGCCAAATAGCATGAGGTAGTCCCCACTGTTTTCAAGATCTGATATTTATGGCAACACCACCAAAAAAACCTACTTTGAAAYACAAATTTTACCATCTTTTATATGAAAACAAATATTTAAATACAGTCAAATGCAGCAATTAGYTGTTAACACACGGCTTATTTCAGGACAACAAGAATTGAACTGTAATATCCCGTTCACAAGCAAATTTCTGCAAAGTTGTTAGACTCAATTTTATCCTAAGAAAACTCCATACAAGGTTTCATTAATAACTTAAAATGATGAATGTGTAAGAAAAGAATCTTCACTTTAAAAAGCTTTCAATATATTTAATAATAATCTATATAAAACTCAGTATTTAGAGAAAGGTACCATGAACAATATACACTGAGAAACCAGCTCTAGCTGTGGATGTTTTCAGTTAAATGGTTTATGAGAAAGTTCTGCATTGCATACAGGCAATACATGTGTTTGGTTCATAGGAATGGAGGAGAAAGGAGGAAAACAAGATTTTACATTTTGGACAAAGTAAATAYACTTATATAGCTTATATAGCTATATAGCCTTCTTAAGTATAGCTTTTTAAAAAGTTTTAGCTCAGCAGTGTCAGGCCTACTACAGGTCTGCATTTCTAGACAAATACGAGCATCTTCTTTTCTGAAAAGATCTATTATCCTAGCCAATCAAAACTGGTTTGAAGTTCAAGATCTCYAGTTTTTCCAGGAAGGATTTTGCATTCATTTTTTTTTCTTCCCTTCTTGAAACATGAAAAACTCAAATTTGTGTAGTCAGAGCTACACAAATCTGCAACATTCTAACAAATCAGGATTTTATCCTCCATTCCTAAACAAACATGGCCTTTTTTTCCCCTATTCACTACTCTGCTAACAGATACTATGAATAAAGTTAACCAGTATCTTATCTGTAGATTGTATTTATTTTTACCTTTTTGATGAACTTCTCTACAATCTGGACAACATGCTTGTAGAGCTGGAAAAGAAACATATATTAATTTTATCATCTACTTGATAGTACTGCATCACTCTAGAGATTTTTTAGGTCTTTGTGCTTACTACCAGTTAGGACGGGCTACAAACAAGACATTGTGCTCGTGTTCTAGAAAGACAGGCCACATTGAGCAAAAGATTTTGTGAGGGAATGGACTGGGAAAAGTCCTGCTTTTTCTTCAAAGCACTTCAGTGTATACTTGAAAGAAACTGCTTTTAGGGTATTATGACAAGTTTGGGGTTTACTTTCTAAGAAAGACCACCAATATGATGAGAAGCAGTTGCATGCTGCAACATTTTACATCTTGTCAGATGGAAATTGTAAGAGCACAGTGAGAATAGCATTAGGAAGCAATGATTCAAAAAAAAAAAAATCAAGCTGTCATTTGCTACTAAATGATGTTTGCCACCCACTAGTCTCTACACAACATTCTTAAAATCAACTAGAATAAAATAAAGCTACATGAAGCTACAAAGGCTGGAAAATCCAGAGATGTATTTACCTCCGACGCAAAGTAATAAAAATATTGCTATTATTACATTTTCATTTTTGTTTTATTGTACRTTACCTTAATAGCTTTAATGGCAGCTTTTGTGATGAGAATCATTTTTGCTCGGGAAATAGGAGGTTTCATCTCCATGAGTGAAAAGAGCTAAACGGAGAAAATAAGAAATATTAAAAAGTTATCTCCAAATTTGAGCAATTAGGCAAAAAAAGACAGTATTTCAGACACCCATTACTGACATTCCACACTTCTCCTCAGTGCTGGTGCTTGATATGAAGGGACCAACAGGCAGAGCTTTCTAGGTAAYGGTCAAATCTGCTGCAAATGTGTTTAATGGAGCTATTTATTATTTAGCTTGCTATTACCGTATCATGTTGCTATTAAAACTGTGAACTATATCAATTGCTTCAGAGATTCCTCTGAACTCTTCTCCATACTACTGTTCCCAATTGAAAAGCTAAATTTCTKAAGGCCAAAGCTTTCAAAAGTGATTAATCTTTAAGAACGACATGCTGAGGCATTCCGTGAACCTGATTTACAGGATTCATCACAACCTAGTTCCTGTAAACATCACCCAGGTACTCCACTTTACACCCGAAATTAGGAAGAGCGGTATTCTGCTAAAACCATTAAGAATAAAAAGTGAATGGTAAGTAATAAATTAAAATACTCAATAAAAAATAGATCTGAATTCAAAACACAGAGAATACAAGTAGGATAAGTAGGTTCTTCAAACATGAACATGAGTCTAAGTGGGGAAAGAAAACCAATCCAATCTTCATATTCACAAACGGCCTCCCCAYGGCTTACGTCTTCCAAGCAAGGAATTCGATTACCAAACACTTCCACGAAGCTTGGAACAGAAAGGTCCTGTTTGGAAAAAAACACCCAGGCACTTCTAAGAAAGCGCCACTCTATCTTGCAGTGCTGACAGTGTCCCGCACCAGTGTTAGCTTCCCATTTTACAAACTGAAGGAAATCAAGACTTGCACGAATAACCACCACGAAGTGGCAAAACCTCCAGGTGGGTGGAAAGAAGYGCTGGTTTCTCAAGTCCCTGGCACCACTGAGGCTGGGCACGTGCCCCAACCACAAGTGCCTTCACATAGCAGCATTTTACGAGGACCGGGGAACGGGAGGGTTTTGAGGGCAGGGAGGCTGCTTTCCAACAGCAGCCCCAGGGGCAGGCACTCACAAACGGGCACGCACATGCACAAGAAAAAAAACCTCACATGAATTTCACCAATTTCCAGACTAGCCTGCTTGCTGCACAGTGACATCTATATATTCCACAGCCTGCTGTGATAATCTCACATTGTAGAATAACTAGTTGCAAAAATTAGACCTCATGCCACGCTATGTTTTTCTTCTGCAGTTTGAGGGCTTTTACTCTAGTGTCCATAGAGCTGGAAGCACAGCCTGCTTTGGCATGAGGACAGATTTCTCCAGTCTTACTTCGCATCCTCCAAGTAAAAAGAGCAGCCACAACCCACCCACTGCTGCTTTTTAACTCCTCCTTCCATCTTACAGCTCATGATTCACTGCTCTAGTCGATTAAACACCATTCTGCACTCTTCCCGTAAACTTAATGGCAGAACTCTCAGATTGCAATGACTTGTTTAATGCAGAAAGCAYAGAGATCTTCTATATTTCCCATACTTAGGTTATCTTCTTTACCGTAAAACTTTCCTAAATAATCCTGGAAAAAAAAAATGTTTTGCATTGCATCATTTGATTTGAACATGTCTTCACAAGAAAAACACAAGAAAAAAAATGAGTCCCTGAATACTAGCCAAAAATGTGATAAGTAACATGAAGGAAAACAAGAAAATAAAAAGTATTCTGGTGTAAAGGAAAGTCAGATGTCAATCAAAAAAACGATCTCTTATTTTTCTATTGATTTAAAATTCCAAGATGCATTGGAAGCAGCCAGCCTGCATAGATTTATCTGCTGTCTCARATAAGGAGGAAAAATTAAAATATATTTAGGTACAGGATGATAAAGTTACAGCCACCTGCTTAAGTGCTTTCAGCAAATGGAGAGTTTCATAGAAATAAAACACAAACAGTAATGAAAAGGATATTTGCTTTCTTAATTACTGTCATAATTCACTTGCTTAAGTCTCCTATTCCAGGAGATATAAATGAAGACAAAATGTCCTTCGAGACAGTGGTAGTCAGACACACAAGCACCAAGTCAGCACCATGACCACTTGTTACCGATCACCACAGCAGCAAGTTCCCGGGCCACAACACTGGATTTTTAAAGCCATTCAAGCCATAGGAGATGCTACAGCCTAACATCCCTGCTTGCTCGTAAACTGTGGTATGGCCACATAAAATCTATCATATAAAACAGAGAAGGAAAAACATGTTCATGATGTGACTCACTTTAAAAAAAAACAAGTAACAGTAACAAGTGACAGCAAATCAGAAAAATCAAGGGTCTAAAAATAAAGTATCCCCAAGAATGACTCAAGAGCAGGGGAATAAAAGAATCCAAGGAGCAACTAACTGCCGGAGGGTAGGAAGAAGGGAATTCGGCTGGATGCACGGAAGTAGCAAGGAAGGGCGCAATCAACAATATGGTAGCTTGGAGAAGCCATTAATTAGAGACCAGAAGAGGCTGAGGCTACTAACCCACGAATGCACACGGGCTTCGGAGGAACAGGACTGAGCAGATCAGTGTGAATTGTTCCTCTGCTGTTACAGGCGGCACTCGGAGCAACGGCAACAMCACCACAGTAAAAGCAGCGAGGTCAGGACACGTGGCCCCTGCCAGCGAGCGAGGCTCGGAAGGAGCCAGCGCTAACACACACAGCAAACCAAAACACAAAGGTACTTGAAAAGCCTCTATTTATACACATGTGTATACATACACATGTATTTATTCCACCCTCTCATCACACACAGCCCTATCACTGTCTTCTGTATATCAAATAGTGTAGAACAGTGCATCAAAATCCCAAATCGCAAATCTTGTTGTCTATTTAAATTTTCATAAGCTTTTTAGAATAGCAAATAACTAAGGATGATCTTTATGCAATTTTCAGTATCATACTTACAAGTGTTAGAAACACGTTCTAGAGAAGAAAAAAGGCAAATCTAAAAACTTAACAGCCTCAGTAGTTCTTCATGAAATTCCTGTGACAGATTTAGAAATTTTCAGTAAGACTATCCCTGTGTCTACTTCACATGTGCATATATTCTCCTAGAGTTGAGTCTTTTTCCATGTATATACATTTCCCAAACCAATACATGCAAAATGTGGCTATTTTCAGATGCGTGCCAATTCAATAATGCTGAAAGACACCAGATTTACCAAAGGGTGCTGGACTAGCTGAAGCAGCAAGCAACATGCAAAAAGCTACACTTCAACACATAAATGCATTTTGAAAGACACAGCAAAGGCAACCATAACTTGAGAGCTTTCTCAACCCGTTTCTTCAGGACGGGAGTATTTCCCCGGACTGTTCTGCCGTGCAAAGCTTGACTCCTTAGGAAATGGCTGATTTACCACCACGTTCTTACTGAGCAGGGCTAGAGATGTGGACAGTCAGACAGCTTCACGGTTCCTCCCTACCACCATTTCCCACATAGYGACACTACTGGCTAATGAAATACGTGGAGACTGAACCCAACTCCTATTTCTGCTGCCTACTGCCACCCAACCTGCTCCTTTGCTGATAAAATCAAGTGAAGACACCACAGAAAGCTGAGGTTCAGCAGTAGGCAACAGAAGATAGTCCTGTTTACCAGGATAAGGAGGAGAACAGGGCAAGAGAGAAAAGGGGAAAAGACATGAGGTGAAATGGCCTTTTTCAGTAAGGACCAATTAACCTAAGGATTATTCAAGACTGGTTTCTTCTTTTTATCAAGTTCTAGTAATTACAACAGATTATATAATTCTCTCCTGTTGTCTCTATGGATCCTTTTATACAACTATGGCAGAAAAAGAAATGTAGAAAATAATAAAAAGGTTTAGAAATGTTACACAAAATGTTACAGAAAGGAATCTTTACTGTTTTAGGTATAGTAGTCTTACATGTTCGAAGTAATATGAAAAAAATGTATTTCTGTTTTGCACAAGTTCTAGCACAGCATACAATTTTAACWGAAGAACTACGAAACACATTTCTGGAACCTCCCTCCTTCTATTTAAAAGTCTATGCAATGTGGCAGCACTGGGGAACACCGTCTTGGAAAACAAGTGAAAGTACAAGACTGACAACCAAACTCAAGCCAGAAAAGAGCGATTTAAGACTATTTCCACGCACAYGGACATACAGAACAAAAATATATTTTTATATATATATATATATATACACACACACACACAACTCCAAGCACCTCAAAAATGGAAGAATCTCCTCCTCATTTTCAGGCTTAGTAAGTTAGTAACAAAAAGGAACTACTCTTTAAATCTTACTGGATAGCATCAGGGACACTCTTATGGTATTGTCTGCTACTCAAAGAGCAAGTCAGGAAGGGCACCCAAATTAAAACTCAAGGTGAACTGTCCAAGCACAGTAGAGAGCAAGTGGCAGGAGATGAGCAAGAGAAGTAACAGGCTTTCCCCCTCTAACTGTAGAGCCTGTCCAAATTCTTATTTGGGCCCTGGGAGGGGTGGGTAGCCGGAGAAGGAATGGGATGCTAACCTTCAGTCTTGCCAGAAGCACATGACTCATTTTGCCTTTCTATAGTTTATCCCTTTTGTGGGTCTGTTTTACGGGCTTCCAAAGCCAAAGGGAAAGTGGCTATTTTCCTTTTGCCCCAGAGCCTTGCCTTAGCAGCCTAAACAGACAGCATGTCTGGGCAGGGCATGTCTTARAAACAAGAGCAAGGAGAAATGCAGGAATCCTGGCAGCTTCTTTTCGTTACTGAGGTCATTACAAGAAAATCAGGCAGCAGTAGGCGCAGGCGAGGGCAGAGAGGGAATAGGCACCGTGAAAAAGATGCAAGACAAGAGGTCTGAGAAAACCTTGCACTTCCCAAGCCTGTAACTGCTTAGAAGGAAGCGAAAGTGTCACAGAATCACAGGATGGTTGAAGTTGGAAGGCACCTCTAGAGATCATCTCGTCCAACCYCACTGCTCCAGTAGGGACACCTGCTGGGTGGCATCCAGGCAGGTTTGGAAGACCTT